CGCGCACGCTGCTTTCCGTGCCCAGAGGTAAGCTTCGGTGTCGCTTTGTTCGAGTATGCCCGAGGTACCTGTTAGGTACCAGCCTGAGAGTGCGAGTTCACTCTGGTGTTCCTCCTGGGCAGCGGCTTTGGTGTACCAAGCGATACTGGTACGTGCGTCGATTGGGCAGCCCAGGAGCCCATACTCATAAGCTTGACCAAGACGGAATTGGGAGAATTTGTAGCCGAGATCAGCGGCTTGGTGGAAGAGCTGTAGCGCGTAGGCTTCGTCGCGTATGACGCGTTCGTTGCCGGTTTGCGCTTCGTAGATGAGGGCCAATTCGTGGAGTGCGTGCGGGTTGTCGCGATCGGCTAGACTAGCGGCTCGTTTGAGCATGTTGATAGCTTCACCAAAGTTCTTCTGTTGGCCTAGGAGTCCCTTGAGGAGTATCATGCCCATTTTGTACATGGCAGGGGGGTCGCCCAACGCGGCAGCACGTCGATACCACTGGACGGCTTTGAGAGGATCCTTCTTGGTGCCACCACCTTCTTCATGACCCATCTCGCAGCAGACAGCTGTACGGTATGCACTTGCGGCATGGCCTCCTTTGGCGGCTGATTGATAGAGTGTGAATGCCTCCTTGGTGTCCACTTGCAAGCCAAGCCCTCCTGATCCGTAACAATCGGCGAGATAGAACATGGCATCCGGTGAGCCATTGTTGACTAGCTTTTTGATGATCTTGTGGGCTTCGAGGATGAACTTCTCTCGGTTCTTGTTCTTCGTCCTGGAGTCGGCAGTGCCTCCTTCATCGGCAAGTACGCTCGATGCTTCTACAAGCTTCTTCGATAGTTTCAGGCCCGTAGGAATGTCATTGGGGTTTTGCTTCCACGTGTTGCGTAGTCTGTTTAGCTCGTCGTAAGTGACTGGATGAGGTGCCGCGCCTGTTCCACTGTGACGCTGTGTAGAAGATTGTTGGCTTTCAATACTGGGGCGTCCAGGCTCGCTGTTGTATTGTCTGACAGGCGGCGGTCTTGCGTTCTGGGGCACCTGGGGCTGGTTTGCCTGTGGTTGCTGCCGCGGTGGCTGCTGCATGAGACCTTGTCGTACAGGCATGGGGTGCGCTGGCAAGGCGTCTGGATTCGACGGTGGCTGAGTAGTGCCAGGTCTTCTGCCCATAGGATCGCTTGGGTTTCGTCCCGGTGCAGGTGCAGCTGTTCCTGGTCGTTGAATAGGGTGTCCGGGTGCGGGCGATCCGAAGTTCCTGTTCATGCTTGGAGGCGGCTCAGAGTAAGTAGTCTCATCCGAGTATACCCTTTGGGGGCCTGGAGGGGGCCCTCCATATCGTGGGTCAAAATTGGGCGGCTGTCCACGCATTGGACCTTGGTTGGGTGGTGCACCTTGCATGCCATCACCCGTCATTCCCCTCTGAGGAGGCCCTCGTCCTCGGACACCGTTGGGTAGACCATTCGGGGGCGCAAAGCCAGTGTTTGCCCGTGACGGACCTGGCATCGGGGGAGCATCTGCCGCCATTTCATGCACGCCATTTGCGTACTGCCCGTTGAGGTCTGGCTGTGATCGACTTCGCTGCATCTGGCCCTGAGGATTGCCGGATCCTGGGTTCGTGGGCGCAGGCGGTGGGGCATAGCGGGTATCGTTAGATGGAGTCAAGTGGTTGTCGATTGAATCACCTCTGCGATGCTTGTTGTTGGTCTCTGGGATGGCGTCGAAGTTGGGCATGTCCATCGCAGCGTCGCCCTGCCCATAGTAGTCATCGTAGAAGTCGTCCAGTGCCGGTTCGCCACCCTGAGCCTGTTGCTGCTGAATTGGCGCTTGACGCTGGTCTTGCTGGCGGTATTGCGTTGGTGGCTGCTGTTGCGGCGCCTGGGGCATAGGAGGCCTATGTCCCTGCTGCATTGGTGGCCCGTTTTGCCTCGTCCCACCCGCAGTTGAAGGCCTGGGAGGAATGTGATCTGGCGATGCAGGGCCATAGTAGCCGGAAACAGCACCAGGCTCAGCGAACTCTTGCTGACCGTTATATCCACCCTGATTTCCATTTGGTAGTGTCTGGGGCATTGTCACCGATCGCTGTGTGTTCGGACCGAAAGCTCGCGACATGGGATCAGATGTGCGATGTGGTTGCTGTCCTCGACTGGGATCGGCGTTCATGGGGGGTGGTCGCTGTCCGGGCGGCATGCGATTAGGGGCATTGCGTTGACCCTGGCCTTCGAAATGTCCCGAGTCCTGCCGCGGGTTGGGTATTGACCTCTGCTGTGGTGGGCCGCGGTTTTGTGGTGGCATAGGCTGTCCTCGCCCAGATGGGCCTGTAGGCTTCGGCTGTCCTCCACCGTCCTTGATGGTCATCTGTGCCATGCCCTTTTCGAGGGGCTTCGAGCCAGCTTGCGGTGGCTTTTGCGAAGGAAAGGTCGGGAACGGGTTGTCGTAGGCAAGAGTCTTGGGTGATGTTGGGTTGAAGAGGGAGCGGTCCAGGCCTGTCAGTGGTGATTAGTGGACTGTATTATGATGAAGTTCGGCAATGCTAATTCTTGTCGTTATGAGTGAATCGGGATGTCGCGACATACCTGGTGGCCTCTGGACACCTCGTCCATTTTGTGTGTTGATGGGTGGCGCATTCCCCTGACCTGTCGGTCGGCTTCGGGGATCCTGTTGTTGTGGTGGTGGTCGTTGTCGCGGCGGCTCATTGTAGGCCTGTTGCTGAGGACGCTGACTCTGAGGAGGCGGTCTCCGTCCTGGGTTTTGCGGGGGCGACTGCTGGTAGTGCTGGTCGCTGTATGCCTCCTCCTGATAGTACTGGTCTTGCGGCGGCTGTCTGCGCCGCTGATCCGGCTGGGCTGACCTCGAGTGCCCATTCACGTCCTGATAGCCGCCGTGCTGCTGCGCGTTGTCCCATCCTCCTTGCTGGTCATAGTGTCCGTTATTCCATTGCTCGTGGCCGCCCTGGTCATAGCCGTAATCGTAGTCGTAGTATTGTTGCTGGTCATATTGATTTTCGTAATTCTGGTATTGCTGCTGCTGCCTCTGTTGCGGCCTGCCTTGCTCGTAGTACTGCGGCTGCTGTTGCGGCTGCGCGTAGTGATCGTAGTGTTGTTGGTGCGCCATGCTTGCGGCGTTATCGGAGAAGCCTGACCCGAGGCTGTCTATCACGAGGCTAGCGAGCGTTGGTGATGTCCGACCGGCGGGGCTGCAGCTCTTAAGGTATCTCGGGTGCAATCGCGATCGCGAGCCTGGGCTCGTTCGGCCTGTTTGTAGCGGATGCTGGTCGTCGACGTGCGATCGCGATGACGGTGTTGGCAGTTGGCCGTGTTCCGGGCAATGTCGTACCTGACAGGGGTGGCACAAACTCAAAGAGGTGTCATATGCCCACTCAGCACAGGGACGACCTTTCAAAGGCGGGATGACGATGGAGTGAAGGTGGAAAGTCTATAGTCGAACTCTCAATTGTACATGTTCTGGAAATCGACGCCAATTGGGGGCGGCCGCTGCCTCCTCAAACACGGGGTGACCTCCAATTAGTTCGATTACGTTTCAACCCAGGTCTGTCGCCCACACGCCGCTGGTGCAACACAGGAAATGAATAAGCAAAAGTCCCGCTTTGGCGTCCTTCGCCTTGAAACGCGGACAAGGGACCTTGGAGTAGACGAATCGTTGTCGGTGGATTGATTCGCACGCGAGTAGATTAAATGAAGCCTTTGAATTTGCCCTGAGTAACACCGCCAGCTAAAGTGACTGGAGAAATATGGAGACGATCAGTATCAGCCCTGCGCAGTACAGCCCGAATGAGCTGATGTCAAGCAGTCCCTATACGAACCAAGTCGCAGAGCCGCTGGAGATCATACACATCATGCAGTCGAGGAACGGCCTACCAATGAGCGCAGGGTCGACGGTGATCGCTGGGCCTTAGGCTCGGGTAAGCGTTCGCCGCCTGCAAGCAGTTGGGTCCCGACGATGCAGCTCCGGTGGCGTCGGGCGGCGGTGCACGACACACGTGATTGAGAGTGGCGCAGCAGGCTAGCTTTGTTAGACAATCAATCCGGCAGTTGGGTGGATCGTCGACTTCACCACTTTAGCTGCACGAGTCTCCACCCCAACACGATACCCTGGGATATACGCTGCCAACGAAGCAGAAGATCTAGAGAGTAGACTTCCCGATATTCAGACCGTCACCATAGGTACACCATGCCATCTACCGCGGCTTACATCAAAGCCATCGCAGGGTACGTCAGATACATGGCCGCTGCACGGCCATAAACTGATAACAAGATAGAGGCGGAATCCTGTGCATCGGCGGCCCTGCACTCGTCATGTGGGTTACACCTACTGAGGAAGAAATCTTCAAGGTATGTCTACTTTGCCACGTGCATGTGCCCAACAGCTGCTCATGATCCATGCAGAGGTATAGCCCAGAACTGCAGAAGAAGGCTCTTGCCGGAAGGGAGCAGAGACAGAAGGACTTTGACGCCTTTGTTGGCCAATTGAAGGAGGCTTCGCGTTCAGACAAGCCGAGTAAGTGTTCCTTCTGCAGTCATCTTCGAGACTGCGCTAACGAAATTAGTCTGGGCTGCGCAGAAGGAAATGGATGCGAAGAGGTCTGAGACGGAACAACAGATTCGCAGGGAGGAGCGCGACGCATATGCTGCCGAGGGACGGAGAAGACAAGCAGAGATCAGGGCTAGCACGCAGTAGCAGTAGCAGGCTCATGCTACATGACTTCTTTTTCGCTGTTGTATATTTACATGTATCACGAATCTACGCTTCCAACAAGGTCAGGGGTTTCCTGGAAATCGAGGTATTCTGCAAGACCTATGACGTACGGTTCATATCCAATGTCAGGCATAGTCGAGTCCGTGGATGTCTGAAATGAGGCGAGGCCTCTGCTCAGGTGACATCCGCCCGGGATCGATCTCGTGACAGCGTCTAGGTTTCGCGAAGTTCCGCGAACCTAGACGCGCGAACCAGCCCCAAACCTTCATCTCGCCCCACCACGACCGTTGCAGCAGGATCCAATGCCCAACGATGCGCAAGCCCCCGTGAAGCTCTCGTTGCCTCTCGTAAGCCCAATCTAGAACATCTGTAGATACGACACTAATGACATCATAGGAGTTCCAACAGGACATCTTCAACGAACTGCGCGAGGAAGATGAGCTCGTCCTCCTTGCGCGCGGCCTTGGCCTTCTGCGCATAGTCACGAACCTCCTCCACTCCTACGATGCCGCCGGGAACAACCTTATACTGCTCGTGGGTGCCGACGATCGCGAGAATGTCTGGATCGGCGAGGCCTTGGCTGAGCACGCAGCCGTCAGCAACGCGCCCAAGTGTCGCGGCCTGAGCCTGGTCAATACCGATCTGATGAGCGTTGGGACACGTGAGAAGATGTATGCCCAAGGCGGGATCTTCAGCATCACGTCGCGCATCCTCATTGTGGACTTTCTGTCTGGGCTACTCAATCCGGAAACGGTGACGGGTGTGGTGGTGCTGCATGCTGAACGGGTCGTTGCGACATCTTTGGAAGCCTTCATCTTGAGGATATACCGGCAGAAGAACAAGGCAGGCTTCTTAAAGGCGTTCTCAGATACGCCAGAGCCCTTCACGACTGGCTTCGCTCCGCTCACGAACATGATGAAGAACCTGTTCCTGACGAAACCGGCGTTATACCCAAGATTCCACGTCGCAGTCGCGAACTCGCTCGAAGGACGCAAGAAAGCGGAAGTCATTGAGCTGGAAGTGCCAATGACGGAAGCTATGCAAGATATACAGAACGCGGTACTGGCCTGTGTTGAGGCCAGTATCAGCGAGCTCAAGAAAGCGAACCCAGGCGTGGAGATGGAGGATTGGAATGTGGACAGTGCCCTACACAAGAATTTTGATCAAATCATCAGACGTCAACTAGACCCCGTCTGGCATCGCACAACGTTCAAGACGCGACAGGTCGTCCGAGATCTGTCCCTGCTTCGCACTATTCTGCATGCCCTTCTTACCTATGATGCGGTGAACTTCAACAAGTACCTCGATACTGTGCTTGCAGCCTCGCAACCACCGCCAGGGTCAACAAAGCAGAATCAGTCTCCATGGTTGTTCCTAGACGCGGCCGATACCATCTTTACCACTGCCAAGCGAAGAGTATACACGGGCAAGGTATCTAATGTGGAATTAGCAAACGCCTCGAATGCTGTGCCAGAGTCTCTGCAGCCTGTCCTAGAGGAATTTCCCAAGTGGACGCAGCTTGCAGAAATTCTGCAAGAGATAGAGCAAGATGCCTACTTCAACCCAACACCGCAAGACTCGTCCAACGGCTCTATACTCATCATGTGCGGCGACCAAGGTACAGCATCACAGCTAAGAGAGTATCTGCAGACCATGTACGTCAAGCCAGAGGGCGTTGCAGACGAGGACGAAGACGAGTACGAGCCATCAGCGAACTTCATGATGCGACGCAAGCTACGGAGCTATCTCACATGGAAACGCGACTTCAGCAAGGTCAGCGCTGCGTTGTTCTCAGAGAATCAGAAAGCCATCAACACCAGCACAGACAAGAATGTTCAGAGCGGTATGCGCCAGACTTCTGGTAAACCTCCGCCTAACAAGCGGCGCCGCATAAGAGGAGGCGGAAACGCAGCAGCAGGACCATCGCGGTCTGATACAGGAGCTGTTCGGACAGCAGGAGACCGCGACGCCCACATTGCAAGTCTAATGGCCGAACTGGAACCCACCGAGATCGAAGCCGCGCAAAAGCCTGGCGACGTAGGATTCGACCCGCTTGACAACATGGAAAGCTTCTACGAGCTCTTCGATATGAACTCCCTGATAATCGTACACCCCTACTCTGGAGACTTGGACGAACACATCCTCGACGAGACAAAGCCGCGATACGTCATCATGTACGAGCCCGACGCAGCGTTCATCCGGCGGATAGAAGTATACCGATCATCCCATACAGACCGAACAGTAAAAGTCTTCTTCATGTACTACGGCGGCAGCGTAGAAGAACAACGATACCTCTCCGCCGTCCGCCGCGAAAAAGACGCCTTCACACGACTAATCAAAGAGCGCGCAAACATGGCCCTAACCATGAACTCCACCGCCAACCTCGCGCCCGAAGAATCCTTCCTCCGTACAATCAACACACGTATCGCCGGCGGCGGCCGCCTAGCCGCCACCACCGAACCCCCCCGTGTCGTCGTCGACGTACGAGAATTCCGGTCCTCACTCCCCTCGCTCCTCCACGGCCGGTCCATCGTAATAGTCCCCTGCATGCTCACCGTCGGCGACTACGTCCTCACGCCCCAAATCTGCATCGAGCGAAAATCCATCCGCGACCTAATCCAATCCTTCGCCAACGGCCGCCTCTTCAACCAAGTCGAATCCATGATGGAACACTACAAACACCCCATGCTGCTCATCGAGTTCGACCAAAACAAGTCGTTCACCCTAGAGCCCTTCACCGACTACTCAGCCGGTAGCAGCAGTTCCTCCTCCTCCGCCAACGGACCCGCCACAACACCAGACCTCCAATCCAAACTCGTTATGCTTACCCTCGCTTTCCCTCGCTTGAGAATCATTTGGAGTAGCAGTCCGTATCAGACGGCTGAGATCTTCGCAGAGCTCAAGAAACAGCAGGATGAGCCTGATCCGATGAAAGCCGTGCAGTTGGGGCTTGATCCGAATCAGAGTGGGGATGAGATGCGCAGCTTTAATCAGACGAGTCAGGATATGTTGAGGGCGCTGCCGGGGGTGAATGAGAATGTGGTTACGACGTTGATGCTTAAGAGTGAGAGTGTGTTTGAGGTGGCGAATATGTCCGAGAGGGAGATTTGTTGGTTGGTCGGGACGGATGTGGGGAGGAGGGTGCATAGGTTTTTTAATCGCAGTGTGTATGAGGAGGTGCAGTGGCAGGGGTTTAGTTAGAGGGTCAGGATGTTAGATGGTAGAGCAAGGGTACATGGAAAGTGTAGTTTGGACGAAGATTATGCGTGTATCATTTCTCTATCCCATCATGCTTTCACAAAAATTCCAAAAGCACGTAACATAAAAACATGCCTCATAACCCCATGATCATCCATACGGAACCATGTATCCCTCAACATGCCTCAAACCATCCGCCCGCTCGCAAGAAGCAGCATTTGAGCAGCCCGGCCCCCGCCACAGCAAAGCAGCAGCCGCAAAGCAGGAGCCGAGACAGCATGGCGGATCTGCGCACCTCCCCCTCAAATGTCGTCAATATCAATCTCCTTCTTGCCAGTGCCGTCAGCCTCGTCCGAATCGCTGTCGTCGCGGTCCTCGTCGAACTCGAAACCGATGCCCTCGTCGCCCTGGTCGCCGTATGTGTCGGTCTCGTTGATCTTTGCGTTTTCGGGGAGTTCGCCGTAGGCTTTTAATGAGCGGGCTTCGTCGGCTGTACATGTGTTAGTATCATGCCCAACAAGCCTTGGTTTGTTTCAGTGACAGTGTAGACTCACCAGAGTACTTCATAATAACATCACCCTTCTCGTCCTGGTAGTCTCGCAGCGACAGCAGGATAATGTCGCCCTGGTTGATCCAGACCTTCTTCCTCAGCTTGCCGCGGATATGGGCGAGACGGCGGGCGCCGTCGAAGCACTGGGCTTCCAGACGACCGTTTCCGAGCATCTTGACGACTTGGGCGTATTCTTGGCCTTCCTCTTTGAAGACGAGTTCGCGCTTTTCGTTGTCGTTCTCGTTCTTACCCCTACGTCGGTTTTTACCTCCCTGATAGATATGTTAGCAGGTGCATCGTGGCATGTGAGAGGAAGCGCCGCATCGCCCAGACATGGAAAGCGCCGTGAGGTTTGGGCGTCAGGCGCTGGAGGAAGTGGCGGGGCAGCCCCTCCAAAAGAGCGCTGGACATACCTTTCCCTTGTTCTTCGGCATGGTGGGCGGTAGTCGAAGTTGGTGTGGGTGTGGGTGGGGTTGTGTTTGGTGTTGGTGGCAGAAGCGTCGGCGGGCGCAAGTCTTTATGTAGTGGCGGCTCGACGGTTGTTTGCACTGTGGATTCCGACTCACTGTGGGAGCCTTCGACACTGCGCGCTAAGACCGTTTACGGCCTAGCGCCTCGTCGCTCACCCGGCCGAAAATCAATCCATCCGTGGTCCTCGAGCCTTTTCACCCCCACTCGCTGCTCCTTCACCCTACGTCACCGTGCATACACACGAGAGGCATGGGATAGCCATGTCAAAGAATGCTGTCTACTCGCTCCTCGCCAGACAGCAGCCGCGCACGTTCAAAGTCAGCTATGCCACCGACTACAAACACTTCATCCTCAACCACGTCGCGTCCGATCCCCAGCACCCCCTCTGCGAGACGCAGCGCCGCAGACAGAGAGAAAAGAAGAAGGAGGGACTGTGGTGGCATGCGACCACCCCCGCCGACCTGAACAAGTCCAGCTGTGTAAGAACATGGGCTAGACGGCGTCTGCGCAACGCTATCAAAGAAGAGCTCCGAGCCCGCGGATACGACGAGAATGGCAAGTTTGTCTATCTTGAGATCCGGAAGAGCCAGCCAGGTCTTTTGAATACGCTGCGCGCGGGCAACACACTGGATCTGACGGGCAGTCTGAGGTTCCACGTCGAGCCGCCTCTGGTCCCGGCCAAGTATGTAGATGTACGCGCGGAGGCTGCTGCTGTCATAGAGGCTCTGATCAGTGCTCAGAGGGGCGCGGTTGGGGGTTTCGCTTCAGCAAGGCCGACAAAGATTCGTCCTTCGTCGAACCCGTCTGCTGCTGCGCAAGAGCGTCCGCGTCAGATCTTCAAACGCGTGGCGTCGCGCACGGGGTGATTGTGGCTTCACAGGCTGAATGAGCCCGTAGAGACCTGCTGAGTTGCATCATCGCTGAAGGTGAAGGGCTCATTACGCTGTCGCCTGTCAGCGATACCCTGGCGTATGTAGTAATACATTGTTCACCGAGCGTCAGAACAGACCCGCAATATCATCGGCGGTCGTGAATTAGAATGAAAAGAAAATGAACCTTCACTCGGAAGCATACACAACGACTCCTTCCACGCGCCCCTGATCAGCCTCATGTCATCATGTCATCATCTCGCTTCTTACCCACCCGTGGACCTGTTGTCACAGCTTCGGTACAAACCTTCGCACCAGACTTGCGATCCACATGCTCGCTTTCTCTAATTGGTAAAGGAGCTTGCTCGGCCCCAGCCGTGGTTCTTACCTCCAGCACCATGGTTGGGTGGAGGTAAACGCCGCTTTTCTACAGTCATCTACAGGTTGGCCTTGTGTTTACTAAGTAAGGTAATTGTTTTGGAATGCTGGGTCTCATCGTTCCAAGAGGAGTAGGTGGGAGATGATGCTGTGGATTGTGGCGGAATTTGCACCGGGCCAATGGGAGTTTGATGCTATAGGTGTAGTTCTTGTGAAGGTGTTGTTGTGTTGGAATGGTGGTTTGGATGAGGCATGATCAGCGTTCTTGCCTTGAGTGTGGTGCATCAAGACTGTCGCCAATGACGATATGACTAGTAATAGCAAAAAATGTAAACAGCAAAAAAATCGCAATAGAGTATTACTCGTTGACGATTCCAGATTCAGAGTTCACGAAGTTCTGTGCAGTACGCGTCCTGACCAATCAGCCGACTTCGGAAGTAAATCCGGGTTGAGGTCCGCTCGGAACGGATTGGACGGTCATCTCGCTGTCCCACCATCAATGACAGCACATCTGTCGTACATCTACATAGGCAAGTCATTATACAACACAACATCGTTGTATATCTGCATTCAATATTTGCTCGAACTAACCTCTCATAGTCAAGTTCAAAGACATCTGCCGAACAATATCTGTAACCACCAGCATCTCAACGTTCACGAAGAGTCATCATTATCATAAGCGGCTCATCATGGCATCAGAAGACGAGTTCCAGCTCTTCACATCCCTGAGATACGATCCATTGCTGCTCCAATCCGAGGAAAACTCAAGAGCCATCTTGAACTTCGTCACACCATCACCCTTCTACATGCTCGCATACCACCGAGACCGGATGGTGGAAGCCGCACAACACTTTGACTTTTTCGAAGTCGAGAAAAGACTGAAAGATGGAAAGGCTTTGCATGAGGAGCTGTTGAAGCGAGTGCAAGACGAGATCAAAAAAACAGGGAAAGATGAAGCTATGAAGGTACGACCTGCAAGAGACAATTACTATACCTTACTAAGAATAACCCAGCTCCGACTTCTATTCGACAAAGCCGCCAATCTAACCGTGGAATGTACTCCAATCCCAGCTGTCCCCCTATCAACCCTCTACCCCCCATCTCTAGACCCACCATCCCCATCCCCACCCCACCATCCCGCCAACCCCAACACCAACACCAACACAAAACCATTCACGCCCTCCCCCCTAACAGGCGGCGCCCTCCACCTTGGCCCCACAGACAGCTTCCCAGCCGGCGACTCCTCCCAGTCCTCCCAACCCCCTCCACCCCCCGAATGGAAAATAGCCCTCGACACCTTACCCACCCCCTCCTCCCCCTTCACCCTCCTCAAAACCACAAAGCGCGAAATGTACGACCGCAGCCGCGAACGCGCCTTACCCCCTAACCCAGCCGGCCCTGCTTACCGCGAAGTCATGCTCTACAACGAAGTCAATGAGCTAACCGAAGGCACGCTAACCTCGCTGTACCTGTTCCGCGGCGGGAGGTGGGTTACGCCGCCTGTGGGTGTGCCGTCGGGGGAATTTACGAGGAAGACGTTGAAGGATGATGGGGCGGATGAGGGGGAGTTGAGGAAGCCTTTCGCGGGGAGGTGGGGGCATAGTACGAGGAGTGCTAAGGTGGGGGCGGGAGGGCAGAGGGGGACGAGTAGGCGGTGGGCGTTGGGGAGTGGGTTTTGTATGGAGGAGCCGGTGGGGATTGAGACTGTGAGTGTGGGGGAGGGGGTGTGGGTTAGTAATGGGGTTAGGGGGTTTGGGTTTGGGAGGGTGGTTGGGTAGATGTTGGTGTTCTGGGTTTTGGGGATGGGTCTGAGTGGTGTGCTCGCAGGGATTCTGTTTGTGTACTTTGAGGGTTGGATGTTTTGTAGCGGTGGGTGTGGTTGGAGGGATGTGGGAGTGGTTGGAAAAAAAATGAGATCGATTGCTATGTAAGTTGCGCTTTGCCATCTCACTGTTTAACGTCGTCTTCACTGCTCATGCCATCCTCGCCACCTTCAGCCACGTCCTGAGTATCTTCAGCCACGCTTGGGGATAGTCGGAGCCGGAGGGTCTGCCTTGGTTGACTGTGCTCTGGCACGACCTGAGACTGTTGAGGGCACTTCTCGACGAAGACGATAGCCCGTGATACCAAGACAGATTCTTCCCAGCCATGGTACTTGCCCGGCTCTTCAGGAAAGAAGTCCCTCGATTCGAGCAAAGCATCTGTGTACTTCTCCGCCTTGAAGGAAGGTTCGTCACAGTCTGGTAGCTCTGGTTCCGGGACGCATGTATAAAGCGCGGGACAGATGCAGATTTTGACTCGATAGTCAGCTGGATTATCCTTGGCACCCTGTCCGTTTCCGTCCTCGGTTTGACCTTCCATGGTGTCCTTGTCGTAAGGGGCGCCAGGTGGCGGGAAGGCGAGTTTGTGGTGTTGGCTGGACACAAGAAGCTCTAACTTCATCTCCATGGTGGACTGCAGCCACGTATCGAGCATCGGACGCAATTCCGCACTATCGAGCCAGGGAATGAAGCTGCGGCACTCTTTGATGAAGATTGCCATCTGGCTTTTGGCCTTCGTCGGTATTTGGTACTTGCGAAAGTACTCATTGCCGATCTTATCTAGGGTGGCCATGGTGTCTAGTTCTCGTACACATTTGAGTCCATCTGTAGTCGTTAGTTGATGAACGTATCAGTTGTGGGGTTGTTACTGACTGAGTGACGCAATCGACTGCCACATTTCGTACAACTTCTCCGACTTCAGCCCTCTGGTACGGAACGCTGTGTTGAAACACCATCGTAGAGCATGATTCATGAAACAGGCAATCTGCATGTTGACATCAGTAGGCATGGCCGTGGTTTTAGTGAAGCACTCAGCGAGCGTCAGGTTCCCGGTTTGTGCCACGGAGAGTCCAGTAACAGCACGCATGGCAGCCTCAAACTTGACGGGTACCTGCTCTTCAGCGCGGAGGGATCTTGCCATGTCGTATGATCGGCAGTCAGATGCCAACCGAGCGGCGTTCTGACTCCAGTTAGCGTGGAGAGAGCCAGCATTGTATTCGACCGGGTAGCCTTGGGATCTGGAGACCAGCTGAGGGCCTCTTAGGGTGCTGAGGAGGGATTGTAGCTGTCCGATATGCTTTGCCTTGGCTTCAAGAAGCCCTTCTAAGGATCGTATAGCATCTTTGTGACGCGTGTTAATCGTCAGCTTCTCGGAAACGAGTGTTGCCCGCTCCAGTTCGAGATCACTAGCCGCTTGGCGCAGTGCAGCATGGCTGGGAGTCGTGGGCTTCCCGATGTGGCGGTGCAGTTCTTCGTTTTCTTTGCGTAGGGTATTGTTACCGGCCTGTTCTAGCTGTGACTGGCGGATAGCATCCTCGAGCCTCTTCTCAAGATAGGCGATGATTGGTGTGTGTGTTGTTGCTGCGACGCGTCGAGGGCTACGCGGAGCGTCGGCAGCGTTGGGGGACTCGGCTGGGGAAATAGTGCGACTAGCGCCGGCATTCATTGGGCTCGCCTGGACTTCAGTCAGCATATACCTCTTCCGACAGCACGATAGTTACCATACACATGATGGTGTTATCGCTCCTCCATCAACAAATGCATCGATGGGCATGCTTTCTGGTGTCTTGGCGCCATACGGTGAGCCACCCGCGGATCTTGCGGAGCTCCTCGTCACCAGAGCGTCCTGAGCCGTCGACCTGACGTCGGCCTGTACCTTTTCACTTGTTGTTCCTCCTACCCGCTCCTCTTCCTCCACTATCTTCCATGGACTTGTCTTTGTACCCCGTTCGCGGCCCGCGGGTGTCTTTGGATGCATTTTCCGTGCGCGGGTTTCGATATCGTGTGAGGCAGCGCGCTTCTTCGCTCTTGTTGTACGCGCCGACTTCGATACTGTTAGCATTTATTCGAGACTGCGACTGCTCACTTGCATGCGAAAGCTTACATTTGCCGCTTCTATTAGACTCGCCTCGCGCATCTTCTGCCGAACCATCGCAGTATCGGTCTCGCTGGCTGCTGCAGGACCAGGCCCTAAGAGAATCCGGCGCGTCTGTGCTGCAATCTCTCTCTCGAAGGCTGGGGAGAGATCCTGGAATGAGATGCCGTGCTCTTCAAACTGTTTGACGGGACCATACTGCTGCACACGCCATCTGATGGCCTCTCTGGTACGGTCTTTGCCCGCACGCTTGAACATCGTGGTCGTATTCGCTATGAGACCGAGGTTGTGCTGGAAGCAGTACTGCGCACATGCAAATAGCAAGGCATCATCCTGAAAGGTCCAGCGGTGGCGCGCCATAGGAGTTCCGCTGGTGAACAGGGACGCACGCCGAGTCGAGCGTCCAGAAGCTGGTTGACGATTGGGGATATCAGAACGAATCGTATTATATCAGAAGCACACAGGGAAGAAAGGCGTGTTTTGCTGCCCCTCGTAGGTTTGTTGACTAATGACACGCGTGTCTTAGAGCGTTTGCTCCCATGCCACATCGGAATACCGCCAGAGCTCCGTGCATATTGGCCGCTCCTATTTGACGTATACGCGAGACAGACCATGCGCCTAGGCGCTGCACGTAGCCGTGGCAATATTAGCGAACGATAAGCGTAGCTGCGTTCCTGCTTCGCTCCTTTTGTTCCTGTTTCTACCTGTCGTTCTCTCGGAGATTAGCGAGATAATGCCCCCCAACACCTCGGATACCTCCGATCTCGATCGTCTCTTCCTGATCATTGATTGGGGGACCACTTACGGAAAGATGGGCCGCATCCATGTCCCTGCCAGGCAAGACGTCAATTCGATCAGCAAAGACCATATCGATTATCTCCACGGATATGACGAAGACATTTGTCCCAACGACACACACAACGATTTTGTACCCACGCATATATACTATGGTCAGGACGGCGACCATTCCTGGGGCTGGAGCGTTTCCCGACTACTGAGCACGTTTCATGAGGAAATCCATCAAAATGGTGATCGCCTTGTGCGTCTCTCCAAACTGATGCTGGGCGACACCGATGCAACTTTAGACGTTCGCAACGACCTCGAAAAACAACTCGATGGCCTTAAAAGAGATGGGTACATCCACGGAAAAGATGATGTCATGAGTGACTACTTTACAGAGTGGTTCACGTTCGCAAAGGATCAATCCTTCGATATGGGAATGGCGTGCCCCGAATTCGTTATCTCCGTCCCTAGTGACTGGGGCGTAACATCCTGTCATCGATATTATACGGCGATTGTCAAAGCGATAGTGAATGTGTGGAACCTACAAGCACCACCCAGCATCATAACAGTATCAGAGCCTGAGGCAGCCGCTTCTTATTGTCTTTCCTTAGAGGGCACTGAGGTCGGAGTACGTCAGAACACCTTCTGATCTCCGCGCTAAGCTGATCTTGCTGTAGATTGGATCTTGTGTTTCCGTCATCGATGCTGGAGGTGGTACTATCGAGATGATCACACTCAAGAAGACACGCAATGATCCAGTACGCTGGGAACAAATTTGTCCGATGAGCAGTAAGCTTGACAGTCATCTCCGTCATAGCCACACGATCACTAATCCAATCTAGGTGACTCTCATGGAGGTGATTCGCTGAACCGAGTTCTCCGAGACATTGTCACCAAGAAGCTGGCATCAGAATCATATCTTGGTGAACAATACGCGGACATAACAGTTCCTAGTATTGTTGCGGGTGTGGTGCAAAAGTACGAGTCCGACATCAAACGCTCATCTAGTGATCCAACGACTAAGCCGCCATCCGGGTTCGTCATCCAGGGTCTCAAATCTGATCCGGCAAGAGGGCGTTTTCCTCATACTCTCAAACTCACATCGTAAGTATATGGTCTTTGTTGAACTCGCTAAAGTACTGATATAGCAAAGAGATGAATGGATTCGAGTGTACAAACCTGCTCATGACGGTCTGATCAAAATCATTGACGAACAACATTCCCTCGTTGTAGCCAAGGGAGAGCGCATCGATTCTGTCGTCTGGGTTGGACAATTCTCCGACAGCAAGTCGTTTCGAGCCAAAGAAAAGCGATATATGGCCACCTGGGAACATGTCCCAGAGCATACCGACGAAAAAGAATACTCGTAAGCAAACCATCATTGAGTACACTTCAGAAGCAAGTAGACTAAATTCTACAAGAACCTACGCAGTCACCTGTGGTGCAGGGCTCAAAGCCCTCAAAGTAAAGATGTTCCCCCCAAATCGATTCCTGCGCGCCGGTTTCGCTATCGAACGACACCTTCCCAAACAATGGAACAGTCGAAGCACCCGTTTCTTCAAAAAACACCCCCAGCTTCGGCATTTACGTAAAGCCCGTGGCGAACCGGGTGACAATGGCAAAGCCTACATATTCAACTGTCTTGAATACTTCGCGCAGAAAGGAGATGAGTTTCCAGAGGGCCGGCAATACTTCTTCACGTCTACTCATTCATTCCATCTTTCAAAGCGGTGGATAGCTGAGGAGCAAATTTGGTACACGCCCCAAGGACCAAAGAAATCGTGGTACCGCTCTGATGACAAAGAAAACAGGGACGCAAAAGTGCTGGGGACAATCCACTACGATATGAGTGCACTCAAGCAGAGCATTGGCGAAGAGTTTCGGGTTGGCTCAGAAGGTGACGACTTTTACGAGGTCACCCTGCGTGTCATGGTCGAAATGCGGGTGGACTACCCATACACTCTCAATGTAAAGGCTAGATGGGCGCCGGAGCTGACTGGGGTATCGCGGCAGGATACCGACGCGGATGATTACGCCAACGTCGACAGAGACTCCCGAGAAATGCTTGAGGGTGACGATGCCATGACATTCGAAGGCGAGTATATCAACGTCTCAGCGGCGTTCAATATCTCGGCTGTATGATTCAGCTGGTGCCTCTGTACTATCTTGGCGAAGGCCATCGCCGTTCCTTGTACTCTCAAAAACAATGCAACATTATTTGGTATCTAGTAGAGTGTGTTGATCATTCGTGTTGCGGTACATCCGGATGTCACCATGTTATCAAAAAGTTCTGTGATTTCTTCAAATAGGCCTAGACCCTACATCAACTTCAGGTTACCCACTTTGCATGTTTTTGTATTGATGTAGGCTGTAGACCTGGTTTGCCTTTTGCGTTGTGTGCCGATCCTGAAGTTGTGATTTGAACTCCCTCAACTTTGGTTCGTCAGTGCCAAACCTGGATATCGCCAACCATGAGTCAAATGCAAAGCCCGTATGCAAAGAACCATGGTATGAATGCAAAGAAATTATTTTGGAATATAAGCGCATCTTGCGCATTCTAAATCTGCATCAACTCCCACTTCCAAAACCGCCTCAAGACACATTCCCATAAATCTTCGCCAACAACATCCAGCTCCACATTCCAAAATGGCACCACTCTACAACACCCGCGAAACCTTCAGCAACACAGCCCTTTATACCTCTCCGCACATATCCTCCTCTTCCAAAGACGCCTCACCCCATGTCTGCCCAACCTGTGCCGAGCCGTGTGCCGCCACAACTCACATAAAAAGCCACTATGCACTAAAGATGCCATCATGCGAGCACATCTTCGGCGCATCCTGCATCGAAACCTGGTTCGACAACGCAAGCACTTGCCCGCTATGCCGTCAAGACTTCTTCCCTAGGCATCCCGAAGAGATATCACAAGAACTGAAGGAGATGCCTGGTCTCATTGAAGAGGCGTTGGGAGTGCTGCAGAAAATGCGGGATAGGTATCCACAGGGACGCGACGCTGTTGACAAGATATCAAATTCGCTTGCTGGGTTTGCGGACATGGTTGGAAGGGACTGTGAGGAGAGGAATGCGAGGAAGAGCGAGAGGGGGTTATTTGAGAGAAGGAGACATCGAATGAGAGTTTGGGCCACGATGGCGGAATATCCACGGCAAGATGGAATGGTCGATGGGCAGGTGCCCCCACCAAATGAGCCTACGACCGCTCCTCCAAGCGACGTCACACCGCCAGCGCTATCCGCTCCCCAACTCTCAATGCGGGAATTCATCACTCTCCAAGCCGAAGCCATTCTCGCACACGACTTCACCCTTGATCTTGCGTCCGTCACCCGCACCGGACAAGTCGACCCAGACTCGGATTTCTTCAGCATCATGGATTTAGCACAGGATGTGCGGCATCTAGCTGAAGAGCATGGCTTATTGGAGGTTGCTACAACCATCTCGAGGAGGTGCATCAGTGTCAACAGGGCTATAAGTGACGAGCAGCGACGGCTAGCGGCGCCGCCAGCTAGCATGGAGATGGTAGAGCGGCATAGGAGAGAAGATGAGCTGAGGAGGGCGGTTTGTGTTGAGAATGGGTCCGTGAGGTCGACAAGAAGGGGGTTTTGGGGGTGGTGCCGCTGGCGCAGATAGAGTGTTAAAGGGGTTTGTCATACTCACATTGAAAAAGGCTCGTGAGTTTGTTGAGCCCACCTCAACCTAGAGAAAACCTAGACACCCTAAAGCCTACATTGATGTTACGTGATATAGTTCGCCTATTTTGGTCTTAATGTAGTCTTTAGACGTGTTTATTTGTTTCTTGTATAAGATGAGTTTTAGAAAATACTATAAGACATTAGAAAAGAAAGCAATCTAGCTGACCCCATATCCAGCGACATGCTTCTGGTCGCTGCCATCTCCACCTTAACAGCCAAGCAATGGAAACAAATATTCGTAGTCGCGTTACATGCTCCACCTAGCGTCTTCGACTCGCTTCTTCCTGAGGTTCCAAGCTCCTATGCCCTACTCTTCTCCGTTCTCGCGATAAGTGCCCCACCAACCGTAGAGTCCGTAGTCTTGAACTTGCGCGCGGCCACCTTCCTCTCAAAGAGTTCATCCAACTCTCCAAACGTCCTTCCCTTTGGTTCGGGAAGCCGCCACCAACCCCACAAAATGCCGATCACACTTGTGCCTGCCCAGAAGAAACCTGCCTTGGCTCCCCAGCCCCAAGCAGTAGGGTTGAGCATGCGCGGTGTGATGATGTTTGTGACGATGCCTGAGATGTTGTAGCAGTTGCGCGCGAGAACAATCGTCTTACTTCTCAAGCGCGTGGAAGGGATTTCCGAGACAAGGGCGTAGCAGATAGGCCCGAGGGTTGCGTCGTAGGCTAGAGTGAAAGCCAGAAGTAGTGCTGCGATAGACCAGTTGAGTACCGTAGGATGCGGATTCCCGACTTCAGAGGATGTGCCTACTACCGCTGAGCGAACTGTGACGAAGTGATGGCGGTGTGGTATGCAAGCTAGTATCCCGATGAGTAGTACGAAGATGAAGGTCATGACTTGTCCGGAGAGATACAGTGTGCGCCTCCCAAAGTGTGCCATGAGAGCCCAGGATATGAAGACGCCGATTAAACCGAGTGCGAATTGGCCCAGCGAGAGGGTGAAAGCGTGAGCAGAGCCGAGACCTGCTTGTTCGTCTGGATGAAGTCAGTCTATGCACATCAAGTCATATCGAGCGACGTTGGCCAACTTACAGAAGTAGGTGGAGAAGCCCATGAAGGTACTGCCACATAGCGTCTGGATAATCCAAACCATGCATGTGATCTCAGTTCTGCGCCGGTCCACTCCCTTGAAGCAGTCTTTGTAACTCGTGCCACTCCGCATCTGTTGTTCTCTCTCGTTCGTTTGGATCATGGCCTCCATTGCGCCGTTCAAAGTTTTGTCAAACTCATCGTCCGACATGGTTGCTGGTTGCGTGCGAAGCCGACGCATCGTCTTCATGGCGTCCGCAAAGCGATCCTGTCGTACGAGCCACCAAGGCGACTCAGGCGCGAAGTAAACGGCGAAGAAGATTGGAATGGGGAAGATCCATTGTAATGCGAAAGGGATGCGGTAGGCCCATGTGGTGGTGTTGTTAATCATGCCGCGCATGACAATGGATGCTACTAGCTGGCCAAGAACCCAACATGCGTTGACATAACTTGACATTGTTAGCTTCGTTTGACTGAGCTGAGTGCGAAAGTTGGGAAAAAGAGACAGATCGATACATACGTAGTCAGATACGCCCGTAAGGCCACTGGGCAGACATCCGCAGCATACACCGTGCATATGCACTGAAACATGCCCCAAGGCATACCTAGTAGACACTGTCCTATCAACAGAACCGTCTTACCTGTGGCAAAGAAGGGTACGAGTGTGAACACGCTCATTGCCACCAACCCTACCATAAGTGTGTATCGGTAGCCAATTCGCTCAGCGAGTGTTCCTGTAGCAAAAAGCCCTACGATCTGCCCTGCGAGGCCGCCGTTCACAAGTGCGCTTTGCCAGTCGGCGCTAATTTCGTACAAGCCATTAGGTTGTAATGTACCAAATTGTTTCCGGAACGGTTGCATTGCGAACAGATTGGGTACGAGGATAGTAGAGAATCCTTCCATAATGAGTGTCATCGATAGTAACACCGACCATGTTATCGCTTTGGGGTACAGGCGTATGCCTTCGCGAAGCGACATTGACCGTTCCGCTTCGTTATTGCTTTCGACAATAGTAGTCGTTCTCTCTAGTATCGCATCCGTCGATTCGAGCTTCGATATCGCCGGTAGGGAGGTGAGGGTGTCGTCTGAGCTGTCGAAACTTAGTGTGTCTGATTGGCCTTGCTCCATAAGTTGCTGATCAAAGTCGACTACACCATGTCGTTTCCGCTCCATGGCTGACACCATGATGCTATGGTCTGAATCGTCTTGTATAGAAGTTCGAGTGACAGCGATACTTGTAGGAAGTCGGGATGAGAGAAGGAAGTGTACGCCAGTTACGGATGGAGGTGATGACTGTCACACCTGACATATAGAGCACGCGCGGGGATGCGGAGTCAAGAAGACCGCGGGGTCACGAGGGAATGTGACGCAGGTTGCTCAGGACCGGACGGGATGACATGCCCATGACCTCAAATGAGCGAGCCATTCTCAGCAGAACCCGAGATTGAGTGCACTAAGGAGACACTTGTGGTAGGCAGCGGCGAAAGACAGCACATAAAGCGAGCGAGCGGAAGGCGAGTCTTCGAACTAAGACGTTAGCCAGCTGGAGTAGAAGGCCGATCAAAACTTGAAGGCATCGTGACTCGAAGACAATTTGGCGGCTCTAGGCAGAACAGGTTATCGGTGGTTGAAGTGACTCCTACGCCGGTCTACTGTGAAGCAGATACAAGCTTTGTGGTCGGCCGTCGCGGGCCGGACGGGAGCACGCGACCGGCGTACCACTGGGGTAAAGTATGGAGAGTGGTACGGTCCACATTATGATCCGCTCTCATGTCGCTCAACCTATTGACTAACAAGCGCCGAGCGGGAGCGCTGAGGACATCTGGGGCGTTTCACGTCATGATCTGGCTAATGCACTCGGTGATACTTCTAAGGTTAGCAATATCTAGATCTCGTTAGCATAACTCTCGAAACAATACGTGATGTTACATCAGTAAACGGTCCGAGAAGTACCCGGCGCTGGAACATTGCAATCAATACGCCCGTGGAAGGCTAAGAATAGGCTGCAGGTGAATTTGACTCGGTCATATTGGTATCGTGCATCTATTTCTTCAACGAAGATTCAAGTTTTGGCATACTCACTGCTTCGCGGCAGCAGCGGCTTCTTTCTCCTTCTTCTTGCGCTCGACCTCAGCCATCTTAGCCGCCTTCTTCATGGCATTTTTGGTCATCGGCTTTCCGTCGGCGTCCAATGAAGGACCCCCGCTCTCGGTGTCTTGTGCCGGTTGCTCGAGTTTGGGCTTGGTGGGGTTCGGATTACCCTTCCACTCTAGCTTCCGCGGGCGGAGGAACTCGTCGAGAATCTCGTCGGTGACCTTTGCTCTTGCTTCTTGGAATTTCTTAACGTATACAGTCATGGTGTCTACGCATTCCTTCTTCATCTCGCCGGTCAATAGTTCGCCTTTGCGGTAGTCCTCAGCTAGCTTCTTGAGCTTCTCGTCATCATCTTCGAAGTATCCGATGTACTGGTACGGTACGTCGATATCGGGGTTTCCACCCTTCTCGCGATGGAGCTCTAGTGTTTCTTGGCCACCAGAGAAGGCCTTGGTGTTGATCTTGGTCTTGATTTGCTTTGGTGTATCGTTCATAAAGATGGCAGAGTTGGCATCGGACGCGCTCATTTTGCCACCAGCGCCTTGCAACGCAGTGAGGAACTTGGAATGTATGAGGGCTGGTTTGGGCGAGGGGAGATCCATTCGGTGGCAGTTCTCACGAACTAGACGGAAGTAGGGATCTTGATCAATAGCGCAGGGAATCAGACAGGGTATGGAAGCAAGCTTCTTCGAGCGCTTGTAGGTCGTGTGATCTTCACCCCAGATAAAGGGGTACGATGAGGCAAAAGCGGCAACGCACTGCTTAGCTGCGAATGCATTGCTGCCGATGTTTGTTGAGCCATCGAAACCAAACGCGCCGCGCACTTGGTTGTTGGTAACCAGCTTCTCGAACTCAGTGGTGTTGAGACTGAAGTGTCGGTTGAAGCCGGATGTGAAGAACTCAGAGTCGATGTACATAAAGGTCTTCTTGATATCGAAGCCGACGGAGATGACATCCTTGGCGTTCTGCCGCGAGAATTCGTAAACTTCCTCCTGCTTGAGCTTCTCCTTGAACAGGAACTTTTCGTCATCCGTCAACATGATGACCAGCGGAACGTCGAAGACATCCTGCAACCACTTTGTGAACTCGAAAGGTATAGTGTGACCAATGTGCATGGCATCACTGCTAGGTCCGCGGCCGGTGTAGAGTAGAAAGTCGTCGCCGCGCTCGTATGTGTCCAGGATGAGCTCAAGATCGCGGTGGGAGAAGAAAAGGCCACGCCGTAACCAGCGGTGCGGCTTGTGGCCTGTGACGCGCTCGAATCGCTCCAGCAGCGGTTGGTCTATAAGTTTTGTGGCCCACTTTTGCGAGATGGCGACGTAGTCAAATTGCTTGACATTTCCCTCTTCGTCTACGCCGGCCTGTACATCCCAGGGGTTGATCTCTTGCTCCGTCGCTTTCGAGACGGATTGTGTCGCTGTGTCGGAGAGTGAGAGGGCGGCGATGGCGGGTGGCTCGGGCTCGGTCATGGTGCTGGCTGTGTTGGAGGATGGCTTGTGTGTCGGGCTGTGAAGGAATGAGTGACTCCAGCCTAGGGGATTACGTGGCGCGATTCTTTGGTGTTGGAGCTGAGTCACTGGATATTCGGCGATGGGAGACCCCACCTCAATTTGGCGTCCCTGTGGCTAGACATGCCCCGCACTCTGCGCCACACTCTGCGCCACGCACCAGCCACAGCGGCGTTACGGAAGGGAAAGCCGATGCAGGTCAGCAAATCTCGTCATGGCGCCAGGATGGCGAGAGCTCCAGACGTTTCCATCCTTGGTCCTCACTCGACCCAGCCCGACATAACGCCCTACCCCTCTCCAGCGCGACTAAACAGCCTGTCCAATTGTCAAAGCTGGATGCGCTTGACCATGCGACTTCATCACCGGAGATAGACGACCGCGCGTTCCAGGCTGCCTCGAGCTCCTACCTATACCATTTTATATCTCCTGCCCTTTACCGCCCACCCACGCCTACAGACACCCCGATTTGACCACGACGACGTCACCATGGTCAAGTTCTACTCCTCCAACGAGACGTACTCGTACCCGTTCCCCGCCGTCTCGCTCGCCTACTTCCTCCGATACCCGAACCCTTACTCCACTCATGTGATCTCCACCGACACCATCGCCCGCAACTACGACCCGGAGACTCAGCGCCTGACGACTATCCGCCTCCACCTAAAGCGCTCCAAAGTCCCTTCCGCCGTCCTCAAGCTCGTACCGCGGTCCCTACTTGGCACTTCAGCCAGCGGAGAATCGCAGACTTATATTCTCGAGAAGTCGGTCGTAGACATCAAAGAAGGATGGATGGACACGGAGTCACGGAATCTGGAATGGACGGGCGTGCTGTCTGTCGTAGAGAGGCAGAAGTTCATACGTCCTTCGCCGTTGGTGCCCGAAGACGTGAAGATGCGGCAAGCCATGGACGGTGCCACGCAGCGCCAGGGCTTCATCAACTTTGGCGCCAAGGGTGCAGGTGCCAGGGTCGAGGATTCGGGTGAGACTACCGACGTCGTAAGCTCTGTCACACTACACAGTCACATCGGGGAGACATGGAAGAAGAAGCGCGCGGCTGCAAGGGAGGACGTTGCGGATGAGGAACAGCCACAAAAGATGGGCTTCCTGCGGAGTTGGGGCACCGCGGCTCTTCAGCGAAACATCGAGAAGATTGGTCTATCCCGTGCGCAGCGAAGTCAGCCGAATGCGCGTGAAGGCATGAAGGTCGTTCTGGAGCGTATGCGGGAAGGCGGCCTTGTCGGGGTACTGGAGGGCATGCGACAAGACCGTGAGGCCATTCTCGCCGGCCGTCCACTGTCGACCCCAAGAGCGATCACCAAGGACGAGTGATCTTGTGACCACTCAGATGATGGAGTGGTATCTACTCACTCGCTCGATTGACGAGTCCCATGTTTCCGATATGAACATTCAGCGACGGCGTAACGGTCTCTCTCCCTACTTTTTCTCATTTCGTCATTACCTCGCTCTCTTGGTGCATGGGCCAGGTTTTGTGTTACTATCACGTTTTCATGTTGCATCGTGTCTTGGTCTGGAACGATGGTAACGATTGTAAAGCAATAAGCAAGTCTTGTATCATGCCGCGAGTCTTTGCAAAAAATCGACCAAAAAGTCTGAAAATGACATTGCAGCGCTGCGTCTTGTTCTCACTTGACAAGTGAAATTCGGTGCCGGTCGTTCCTTCCGCTCTCTTAATGGGTCGCTTCGATCACGATCATCGCTTCCGGGCAGTGGGAAGCTACCACATCACCTCGTACGATAACCTATTCCTCAGCATCGATCTCATGCTCAAAGCTTCATTGCATCATGCGTCCACTCGCGCACTACGACATTCCAACCTCACCGATCATTCCATGAATCGCGCCGACTACCTACTACCGCCACTACCCGGCTGTGATGACCTAAAACATCCAACAATCAACAACTCAACGCAGAGCAACGACACCTCAACAGATGACAAGCCACCTACGCCGTACGACCGTTACAGTGAAGGTGAGCCGTCCACCCTGCGGTTACATTCAATCCCCCGCTAAAGAAAGCAAAAGCAGTCTACAAAGGCTACGACGCCTACCACTCCCAGATCCGCAAACTCGACTGGCTAAAAGCCCACCGCGCCTTAACCACCTCCCCCGAAGTAACACCCCACACAACCTGGCTGATCGAAACTCTCCAAGCCATCATCACCCGCTGGGAAGCCGTCCTCCCCTACATCGCTTCACCCTACCCCATCCCTCCGAATAACCCCTCCGCTTTCACCTAGGACGCGATCCCGGAACCACCTCCCGGCCGAGAACACCTCCTTGCACTGCGCGACTGCCTAGAAGAAAAGGGCAGGGCGATCATCGGTCAGCCGTTTGTGGATAACGCGGATGTGCTGGCTGAGATGGATTTACCGGGCTTTGGTACCAGGAGGGTGCTGAAGGTTTTTAGGCTGCAGGAGGCGAAGCAGTTGGCTTTGCATACTTGCTTTGTGAGGAACCTGGTGTTAGGTTTGGAAAAGTTGGAGGGCGCTTGTAGGGCGCATGGGGTTAGGTTTGTGGGGGGTGGGCATGTGGAAACTGAGGGTGTGGAAAGGGAGGCCGATGGGGATGTGGTTTTGGGGATTGCGGTGAAGGAGATAAGGGGCATTGATGGGCCGTTTGATGTGGAAAGCTCAGCCTGACTGTAGGTTTGTGGGAAGTCATCGATTAGTTATGGCTATCTAATTATGGTATCCATCACGTGATGCTTGGCACGAAGATCCCATTGCCGCGCAGTTGGATTTGGTTGCGCAAAGAGTCTCATGGCATGTAGTAGGAGCTAGTGCATCGCACAAGTTCACCTGGCAGCTAGAAGCGTGGTCGTTGAATGGCTGCAATGTACCTGCCGCCGGTGAGGGTGGCCAAGCGAGCGAGGCTGAGCCTTGCAACCATGTCCAGGTGCACTGCCTCGAGTTGACTTCACTATTAATCTCAGCCTGCCGCCACTACACTTTTTTTCAACTCTTACCTACCTCACCATGTGGTTGCTCCACACTACAAATCTCAAGTTGCGTCACTTCATCTCCAACATACCCGACTACGTAATACTCTCCCATACGTGGGGTGAGGATGAAGTTGGCTTCGACGACATCGCGCAGCCCTACGCGGAAGACATGGCCGGCTTTTCTAAAATATCGCGATGCTGCGCTCAGGCTGTGCGGGCTGGATTTGAATGGGTCTGGATTGACACATGCTGTATTGATAAGAGAAGTAGTGCTGGGTTGTCAGAAGCGATCAATTCAATGTACAGATGGTATTGGAATGCCGCGATCTGCTACGTTTTCATCTCAGATCTTTCCGGCGACAATAGATATCTTCAATCATCACGATGGTTCAAAAGAGGATGGACGTTACAAGAGCTCCTTGCGCCGGATACCATGGAGTTCTATGACTCGGACTGGATTTTTCTGGGCACCAAGACGAGCCTTGTGGAACCAATCTTCGCCGCAACGAAGATCAACAAACAATACCTACTTGATCGAACCGTGATCGAGAACGCTAGCATAGCAGCGAAGTTCAGTTGGGCCTCCGGTAGAGTGACGACGCGCGAAGAAGATCTGGCATACTGCTTACTCGGCCTCGTGCAGGTGAACATGCCGATGTTGTACGGCGAGGGCCGGGGCGCCTTCTACCGGTTGCAATTAGAAATCATCAAACAGAATAACGACCATACCATCTTCGCCTGGGCTCCCGTTCATCTACCATATGGTTCCCTGGGCCTCTTCGCATCTTCACCTGCACAATTCGCGAACGCGGCTGGTTTCCGGCCCATTGCTACGCGAGAAAGGCAGCCTACAACTTACGAGATGACCAATCATGGTCTCAGTATCACTATCCCTTGCATATATCGCCGGGCTGGTATAATTGCACTTCTGGACTGCTCAGACTCGACTGGAATGCGTTTTGGGGTTGATCTAGCATGCACTGGTACTTCAACATATAGAAGACTAAATACGCCCCTTTCGGAAGTGGATGATGTAGAGGCCAAGCAAGCGACCACAAAAACTATCTATATTGAGACACGGAGCAGAAGTCTTGAAGAGTCGTCTGGATATTTTAGTAAGATGACAGTGCACAATATGTCAGAACCGAGTCGGATTGGCCGCATCGCCACAGGAGATTTAATGGAACTCCATCCCGACTACCGAGATGTTTTGTACGAGATTCAGGATCTTGATCTGCCGCAGGACGACTTCAATTCGACTTTAAAAGACCAAATCATTAACGATGGCGAGTTCCTCAGTTTTGTGATCATATTGCACGACCTCGTTGGCTACCTGTTCTTCTTAGGTATGTACGGAGGTCGTCCATGGATTCATGCATCACCTTACGTCCCTGCCCGGTGGGCGGAAGAAGTGAACGAGAAACGCAAATTGTTCGAAGCTGGAACGGGGGATCAATCCATCCCTGGGCAACAGAATCACTTCACAGACCATCTTAGTTTCCCTATCGAAGGAGGTCTTAAGCTGGAGGCGATAGAAAGGAAGACACGCTCCGAAGAGATTTTACTATGGAATCTTGAAATATCCATCAAGGACACGAGAAAGCAGGCAGCACTGTGGCAACTCATGCACGGGGAGATGTGGATTTGAAAATTTCATTCGACAAATTTCTACTTTTTCCCCAGAGATGTGGTGTGCGAGAAATCATCGTCACTTATGCGTGTTAGAGCAGTGTTGACTACAGTAAAGAATCGAGACAACTTAGGAGCTTAACGCGTTAGTAGGAATTGCAGGATAACATAAGACGCCTTAAGAATAGCACTACTTTAGACAGAATACTAAACAGGTTTGCAGCCTACATAGAGATATAAGCTGCAAAATAGAGTAGTTGACGTTATTGTAGGCTCTGAGATAATTTACATTTTGTAGAACGAGGTGACACCTCGTCAGAGCAGAGTTTTCAACTTACAACAGTGAAGTAAAATCGACAATCCAGCTGCTATTGCAGTCACGTATAAACGAGGTCTGATATGCATCTAACAGGTCGATCGACCGCCCAACCTTTGAGATCACATCATCACATTGTATTGCACACTACAGGCCGTGTATCCAACACGGGTCAATACAAAAAGCTTAAACGGCACGTGAAACTACCAGGATTCGTATTTCGAACGGCTCGACAGTATCAACGTCACTATGATGAACGCTTAAGCATAAGCCAGCCTCTCCTCCGTCCACCCCGGCCTCAAGTACTCAGAGTCAAAGTTCGAGCTCCAGCTACTCTCAATAGCATACTCCTGCACAAGCTGCACATCAACCTGTGCGCCCTCCTCTGACTGCGCCCACACACTCAAACCAATAACATTGTCACCGGAGTAGTTGAGGATCCCCGGTGGAACAGGGAACTTGATCTCATTGCCGACGTACGGGTTGAAGCGGGCGTATTGGTAACCATTGACGAAGAGCTGCGCACGGATGGTCTTCGAGCCCACGGCATTGAGGACGAAAGCGAAAGAAGCATCGACTTCAGCAGGTACGCCAAGAGGGATGGTCGTGCGGTAGAACTTGATGTCTGCGCCTTCGAAACCAGTGGATGGTGAGCCAGATGCCCATTCAGAGTCGTCGAAACCGGGGAGATGCCATCCGAGACGCTCAGCTGTGAGACCACCTTCAGCAAGAGGACCACGAACAGGGTCGAGTAGCGCATCTTCACCACCGGCTTCACCAGCAATCTTCCAGGATGTGAACTCTGCGCCTTCGAGAGTGGCACGGAGGATACCGCGGGGGTCGGTAGCACCACCACGCAGATCGTGACCGGTGTTGTCCTGTGCGACGAGCAAAACGTTGGTGCTGTTCTCGTAAACAGTGGCATTGGCGAAAGACAGTGTCATGTTGCCAATGCCTAGGGTGGTGTTGCCCAACCACGATCCGACCAACTCACCGTTCAACCATGCGCTCCAGCCAAAGGCGAGGCCACCCTGAACGGAAAGCTGCACACCGGTGGCCGCGCCGTCGAAGTATCCGCGGAAGAGATGGAAGCTGTTGTGGAAGCCATACTCGTCAACGTAGAGAACAGGCAGGGTGTCGGGCTTGGTAGGGTTGGGGGTGTTGGTGTGGTCAGCGACCACCCAAGCAGCACCGCTGTCATCGTACTCGGGCATCTTCTCTGGGAGTCCTTCATTCATCTTCCAATTGCCTAGAGTCGGAAGGTTGATGGTGCCGTTGAAAGCAGCGACATGTGCCTTCAAGCTACCGTAGGATGTGCGTGAGGTTGCTAGTTCCTTCCCGTTCCATGATAGTGTCTTCGCACTGCCAGTGGCAAAGACTTCAATGTCGGTGCTGTTCATGATGTCACCCTTGAGAGCGAGACAATCAGCATCTAGAGCTACACTGCGGACGAGGTATGGGCCCTGGACCAGCACGGATTGGTCGACCGGTGCGAAGGGATTGTTCGAGAGATTAGGGGCCCAGAAGAGGTATGCAGTGGGTTTGTCAGCGACAACAACCTTGACACCGTTGTCAAACTGACACACATTCATGCCGGAAACCTTCTGAATGTTGGTTGTTAGACCGTGAGCTTCGGCATGGAAAGTCGCGTTCGAGCTGGTACCGCTGCTGACTAGGGAGCCCTTCGTAGCACCCTTGACGTGGAACTCAACAGACTCTCCGACACCAGTCGACAGTACCACAACTGGCTTGTGATCAACCATAGCATATGTGAGAACCTCAGCAGTAGAGTAGGTCAAGGTGTTGTTGCCCATGGCGAAGTCGGTGACAAGAATCTTGGACTGATGGCCGTCGAGAACAATGGAGCCCGCATGCTGAGGAATAGTCAAGTTTCCTACGGAAGTGCTGACATGTAGCTTGAACGATTCCTTGGTGGCAGACGAAGACGTGGAGTGAATGGTGACGTAGAAGGCAGCGTTGGTAAGGGGGTTGCGGAGCTCGCTAGCCTCGACCGCCGGGTTTGTGGAGTATGAGCTGGAGTTACCGAGACGGTTGGTGACGGTGAGATCATCAGCAACGCGGGTGAACATAGCCAAGTTCTTGGTCTCGTAAAACTTGGCGCCGATCTCACGGTTCTCGCTGATGGGACTGCTGTAGTCGTAGGAAGTAGCTGTGACTGGAGCAGCTAGAGCACCCCAGTTCGTTCCTCCGAACATCATGTACAGCGACACCGCGGTAACACGCTGAGAAATGAGGTTGCGATAGAACAAGTTGGCGAAGTCGGCTCCGATATCAGCAGGGCAGCCTCCCTCAGGTCCACCCCATGGGTTGTAAGAGCCACCCTGGAATTCCGGGAAGAAGCTTGGCTGGGTAGGAGATACCTCCACGAAATGGTCGTAGTAGTCGATGACCTGGTAGGCTACGTATTCTCCGTTGGTACCAGTGCACTCATCCAGGTTGCATGACCAGCACGACGGGTAACTGTCCAAGCCAGCAACATCGACGTTACCGACAGCGCCAGGCGCATAGTCTTTACTCCAGCTCTTGGTGTTCATGTTCGGGTCGTTGTGGATGAGAGGGACATCAATACCGTTGGCTCGTGCAGAGTCTTCTAGTGCTTGCATGTATCTCCCGGCAGCATCGTTGGGGATCTTTTCATCACGGTCGTTCCATTGCTCGCCGTACTCGTTTTCGATCTGGTAGACCAGTGCGTTGCCACCCTTGGTCACGAGATGCTTGGAGGTGAGTTCGGAGAACTTGGCGAAGTAGGGGTCCAAAGCCTGAAGATATCTTGGGTCGTCGTCTCTTAGCTTGCCGTAGGCTCCTGTCGTGAGCCACAGTGGAAAGCCTCCGGCGTTGGCTTCAGCGTTGACATATGGACCTGGCCTCGTGATGACATACAAGCCAACACGTTCCGCAATCTCAAAGAGCTTCGTGAAGTCATGCGCGCCGCTCTCAAAGTCCAGGGTCTGGTTGTTAGCACTGTGGTAAGCCCAGTTGCCGTAGAACGCGAAAGCCGTGAATCCTGTTCGTTGTCAGCATCGGCTCATAGTACGTGGCGAGTTGATGAATTTACCCGCCGCCTTGATCTTCTCCAATAGATCTTCCCAAACCTCGTAGACTGGAATACGCCAGTAGTGAATCTCTCCACTAAAGACGAATAGGCGCTTCCCATTGACCTTGAAGGAGTAATGGTCCCATTGTACGACATCGTTTAGACCATTGTCGTGTAGTGGCCATGCACTGGGTGTGTTGTTTTGAGCATTGACACCAGATCCATTGGGTAGAGTTGCCAACGAAGACAGAGCCGAGAGCCACGAGAGCCCTACGAGAGTCTTCATGATGGATGCAGGATGGAGATGTCGAGGCCAATGAGCGCTGTCGCCGTTGCATCGGACATGCTGAGGGTATAAGAGCACTACGCAGGTACCAAGCCCCAGTCTACCCCGAATTGCGTACAAGACACTAATGCCGCGCTATGATGGAATGCATTGTGGATTGCGGGGATGTCAAGGTCGTCTCAATGGTGGAATTGAGATGCCCATGCTCGGACGCTGGGCTAGGGTGCGCCGAGGCCCGGGTAAACGTTGTCGACATCACATCGGCGGCGGGTGCATTGCGCAGATAGGTTAGCATCACGGACATCTTGCATTGTTTCCGCTCGGTCAAGCTGTTGAACAGGAAACCGGAAGAGAAGAGGAAGTTTTGCGTGATCATGACCTGGGTTGAAGAACTTGGGAACGGCGGTTGATCCCAAACAAGTTCGTTCAATTCTCATTCCCGGCATGGACCGGTCGACACCGCGTCTTCGGGCTCCGCGACGATGCATCAATCAGAGGCGTCTATTGATGAGAAGTCAAATATCAAATACCCAAGCTTTTGTTGTGAGATGGTATGTACACGCTGGTGGAGAGGCACTCGTGGGTGGCGGCGGCAGGAAGCTCGGGGTAATGCAGCCGAGGTGTTTACCCGCGTCTACTTTGCGCGAAACATTTGGTGGTAGATAAAAAGATTGTCTTTTGAGTATACAAGACACGACCGCGATCAGTAAACATAGGATACACGTGTGTCCAGATGGACATTGGATGTGATTAGAAGATGCCGTCGCGTTGCCTCAGGAGCTTCCCTACACTAGTGCAAGCACTGACCCTTGACGCGCTAGCTACAAGAAAAGCGCGTCTACGCATCTGTGCTCACCCTTCCACCCCGACACGATCTTCTCCACAATACCGGATAGTACACAATCACCTCATACAAATCAAAACTGAACAGGTCCGGAACCAAAATTAGACTAATGATGAGCAAATATGGAAGCGTAGCGTCAATGGAGGCTCTAGGGTGTTCGATTTTTCCCTTGAATGGGGTGCGACCCAAATACACGTCGTACTCTGATAATCTACTCGTTGTCCCTGACGTCGATGACGGTAGACTTGAACTTGCGCGCAGAGATCTTCCGGTTGAACAGAATGTCAAGCTCACGGTATGAGCGGCCCTTGAGCTCAGGGAGGCCGAAGTATGCGCTGATGAAGCAGACGCAAGCTGTACCGCCCCACACGTATCCACACTTCCCAGCCATGTTCCAGCCCGTGGGATTGAGCATCTGCGAGGCTAAGTAGATCATGGGAATCTCGGCGACATAGTATGCGGCTCGGCCAACACCAGTGCTTAGCGCGCGGAGACGGACGGATGATGTTTCCGCGATGATGGAGTATGAGATCGGACCCATGGCTCCTGCGAAGACGAACGAGATGACGATGCCCAAACAAGCTTGGGCGTAGTTGGTCGCGCTGCTCTGGGGGATAGAAGCGCAGATCCCGAGAACGAAGAGCAGGCAGATGTTGATGGCGGTGCCCCCGAGATAAATTGTGCGGCGGCCGAAAAAGTTGCTGAGAGGCCACGCGCAGATGTTGGCTACCAGCTGCAGGCACGAGTTGATCAAGTTAAGCTTGAATGAGAAGTCAGATGACATTCCAGCCTCTGCGGATAGTCAGCTTTGCATCTCTAAGGGCTGTGGCGATTCTTGACTTACGCTCGAAGAAGAATGTTGCTTGGTTGGCAATCAGGTTGCCGGCGAAGTTCTGAGACGCGTAGATCAAGCAGGTAATGAGTGTTCGGCGAAGGTCGACTCCCTTCACGAGGTCGAGCAGGGAAGGCTCGCCGCCCTTGTGTGCTTCGATCTGTACTGTGCGTTCCATCATAGCAAGCGTGTCTTCGGCGGCCGCTTGAGTTCCGTTTCTACGACCAAGGCGCTTGATGGACTTCAGCGCCTGTTCCTTGCGCCCTCTGCGCACTAGCCACCATGGCGACTCGGGTGCAAAGAAGATGAGAACCATAAGAGGGGTCTATGACTGTCAGCTATCGTAAGGAAACATACGAACGATGTACTTACGGGAAACACCCACTGTAGGGCCAGAGGACCTCTCCACGCCCACTCGTCGTTCCGCTTGTTGTAGCTGTAGGTCGCAGCAGCGACAATGATGCTTCCAATAGACCAAGACATCTGAAGTGTAGCCGTGCAGGCACCACGAAGAACCAGAGGGACGACCTCACTGGCGTAGGCCGGCGAGTTGGCGATGAACATGCCCCATGGGATACCTTCGAAAGCTTGCCCAATGACGAGAACCGCGAGCGAATCCGCCTGGATATTGTCAGTCCATGAAATCACATCTGGGATGGAATACTTACGAAGAAAGAGATGAAGATTGTCGCATTCATCAGCATGAGTGCCAGTAAAGTAGTCCAGCGGTAACCAAGACGGTTGGTGATTGGGCCAGCGAGAAAGACTCCAATGAAAGCACCGCATTGGCCGGCTTGGAAGAGTGAACTCTGCCATTTGGTGGGAATGGTCTTGCCGACTTCGCCAGCGACTTGCACGCCATATCGTTCTTTGAACGCCGCAAGAGCAACAAAGTTACCGTTCAAAAACATGTCGAAAGACTCCATGACCTGTTCGGTGTCAGCAAAATCTTCTTGGAGATGCTAGCAGGGGCCTAGGACTCACGATAGTAAAGCAGAAGATGAAAGCCCAAAAGCAAGCCATGGGGTGGTCCCTCATGGCCTCCCACATTCCCATATCATGTTCGCGGCTTTCAGCTGCCTGCGCATCTGTCATGAGCTCCTTGTCCTCGAAGATCTCAGCCTGGCGACTGAGGCTCTTCTCCAGGACTCCATCGTCGACCGCAGGGGTACCATCTCGCTTGGGTTCGGCAAAGCCCGCCATTTCGAGTTAGCGTGTAAGTTGATTGGACGCCACGAAGAGCAAAGAACGAATAAGCAAAAGCCGATGCCAGAAGCCAAGCAGACATGGTGAGCTTGGAGAGCTTATATACTGTATGCACTCTAGATTCGACCTCGGCGTGGGTACGCTCTGCTATCATCAACCCACTTGAACCCACGGGGCCCCGCGACAAGCTTTCAAGGGTGCTTGTCACGTTGATGGGTCTTGATTGGCGGGTCTCTGGGGTAGGAGGAGGCCGGGGTCCGAGCAGAGCCGCGCAGCACTCTCTAGCCTGAAACGTCATGCTATGGAGACCTGCTATTGATGCGAAATTCGAAAGCTAGGAAATAGTTGTAGCTTGTTTGGGTGATCTTGCCGTACAACAGTGGATAGAAGAGCCGCGCGACACAAGTGTTGCGGAAGTACTCCCTCAAGCACATTAGTGAGGCTGGAAAGTGGGATGACAACGTCGGTAGACCTCGTGTGCGCGGTGTACATGAGGCGAATGGGAATGCTGCGGAAGTATGCAGGAGTGCTATCTCCGATCTCACTTGTTACTGATGCCCATCAAAATCAGACTCAAAGGAGGGTAGTAAGCCCGCTACCGACCACGATTGTTGTTGATGATTGCTATGCCTTCAATTGCGCGAGTTTTGAGCTCAAGGTTCCACCCCCATGGAGAAATTCTGGGGACTACGAATTCTTTGCAGGGTATCGCCTGTAGACCCCAAGTCCAAATTCTCGATCGACCTGAGATCGCCTGTGTGCACAGCAATGGACTCGTACGAGCGGCCAATGTCGGAGACTACGGCCAGTCATGGGCAAGCGTCGGTGGATCCATGAGCACTATGAATCCTCAATGGCATGATTCCCAATACACTTAGTCTGTGGAGCAAGTGTCATTCGTTGGCAGTATCCGTTGGAGAAGACAAGAGATTCATCCAACGCGGTAAGAGCTACGGACGCCGACGGGATACAACTTGCAAACAAACAACCACCAACACATTGATCTGACGAGGAATTCCCAGTGTTCTGGGTAGGTTTCCGTCTGGGTACATGGTTTCTGTTTGTATCGCATAGTAATCAAAGCTACGGCAATCTGCGGAATAAGCCTACGCTGCGCCTTCTAGAAGCCAGGTCGGCAGGCATCAGAGTTCAGCACGTATACCGCTTTCAGGAAGCGGGCCGCATACCATTGTTGACATTTGCACGTGAGAATGAAACCCCTAAGTGCTGTCTTGTTCTACTTACGACTGTCGCTCGCTCAAGCAGTGAAGGCGGGTTGTTCGCAAGCCACCCAGCTGCACGGCTGAGAGCCACGACGTAGCTGCGACTGGTACGTCTTCCAAACATGAACGGATGAGTCCAACATCGGTCCAACATGTCTTGCAAGATACTGCCTGAGCGTTCATAGGCCCCGCGAGGTCTTCACTCCTGGTTCGCAGCATTGTCTGTGAGCAAATTCTATAGACCCATTGAGTCATGCCGTACCACATTGAAAGTTGTTGCGACAAAGCTCTAAGACAGGGACGTTCCAGTCCGTAGCCGTTCAAGGGTAGCATCTTCCGATGCAGAAGTCCGTTGTGTCACCCCATTCAAGAAAAAAAACCGAGCACCCTGGAGCCTACATTAACAGGTAAAGATGCAAAATATGCAACCCGACGTCAACTTAGACTCCAGCTTATCCAGTTTTCTCTCGAATGGGTGGTGCGAAACAAATGTTCTAAGACTAATATTTCGATCCGGGTATTGATTTTGGAGACTAAATGATGTGCGATGATGGACCTGCCGAACATCCGGGTCTGCATGTACTGGATTCTGCGTGGATTAGACGCAGTGTGTATAACATACTTACTTATAGTCGGGTAGAATCTTGCAGATGCAGGCATACTCTCTCACAAGGCTGCTTCCTGAACGAGAAGGCGCTGTAAGACTACGCAGCCAGCAGCGGAAAGCTCAGATCGCGCCATAACGATAACCGGAACTCAGCGAACGATTTTGGATAAGATCACCGGCGCATGTATGAATGAGACACATCGTATTCATGTAATGGCCCAGCGGCTTCCGCGCACGGTATTGGCAGGCGTCCTGAGCCGACGAGGCAGCGGCAAGCCAGGCGACATGGCGCAGAACGCCACGGCGGCACGGCTGGGGGCTGACAAACAAGGAAAAGCGAGGACCTTGATATCGCTACAGCAAAGCCGTACAGCCAAGCACGCATGTAGCGGGCTGAATTGAAAGCATGTGGGTGGCATGGTAATGGCGGGGGAGATGCACGCGAACTGACTGCCGAAGCTAGCTCTTCTTGGCGTGCCAGTAGCGCCGCATCGGACCGCCGTGTGCTCGCCTCGCCTCCATCTTTATCGCGTCCATCTTCTCTTTCGTGCAACACCAAGAACGCCCTAACTACAACGGGGCCACGTTGACAGGCTGTCAAAGCAAGTTTCCTATCTTTTCGGAAGCATACGCGCCTGCAGTTGTACAGCCTAGCGGTGTCCTTACCCACGACCCCACCGGGAAGAAAACAGCGTCCATACCTTCCATCTGCATTTCGCGATTGGCTGGACGGAAACGAGAACGACCTCCCCGGCCTCACGTTTGTGCCTGAGGCCCTTCTTTTGTGTTGGCGAGCAGATTCTCGCCGTCATGAAGCAAACAGTCCCAGATAGCGCCACCAGGCTGCAAAGTTCCAGCCCGATACGTCACAGTTTGCTCGCTCTCCAACCATACACCTATTGGTCTTGTCGCTGCGGCTGTAGTGCTCTCGCTATCGGTGCCTATTTTGGAGATGTCGAACGCCCTTTTGCAGCTCGCTTGTGGCGGTGAACAGTAGAAGTCGAGCTGTCGTTTCCAGCGTTCCAACCTGGGTGGCAATGATAGACGTTACATTGTATGATTGGACGCTCTTGCCTAGAAGCAGGGATTCATTCCATGGTACGTTTGATACATGTAAGGGAGAGTGGAGAATCGCTACCGTGGAGAGAGTCGACCATGGCCCTATGCATTACGTCTTCTTCCGTAAAGATACGGCTTCTTACTGTGATCCACGCGTGACTGGGGAAAATTTCGCATTTCTCCAACCAGTTATTTCAGATATCCCGGCATTCAGCAAGCGGAAGCTCGAACTCTTGTTACAGAGAAGCGCCAATCCTTACAGGAAGCAACTCTCGAGGACCGTGGACCTTGCGATGATGAAAGTCGACATAATGGAGCAGACTCCAAGCAAACCTGCTTCTACCGTCCGTCCATGGATGAAGCCTGATAGTGTCTCTGGGGTCTTGAGGAACAGTTACGAATATATCTATGGCAAACTCAAGTTAGTGAACGGCCGGGTGGACGGCATGGAAGCGCAAATGACGCATCTCAAACAGCTTGTCGAAGACGTTAAGATCAAGTCCGAAGCAGATAACCAAGCACTGCAAAGCGATATTGATGCTCAGAAGGCGCAGAATCAGCAGCTGCGAAACGAACTGGATGCTGAGAGGGATCGAAACCAGCGACTAGAGACTACGATTAAGAATTCACAACAGTCAATCACCCGGACCGGTCAACAGTTGAATGATCTCTCCAACCGGTTTCATGCCCACGAGACTATCACTACTGCGAAGTTGCAAAGGACATTTCGAATCGTGCCAGATCTCACGCAACGGATTGAGTCGCTGGAACGGTCTGGCAATACCTACAGTCAGGGTATCGTCGAACTGAGAAAGGACCTAGTAGATCGCTTCGAGACAGCAGTGGTTCATACCCAAGAAGGCTTGCGTCACAACCAAACCGCCTATATCAATGGTCTAGGACTCCTCAGAAATGAGACGGCGGAAAAGCTCGCTACTCTGACAGACCACCTCTCCACCGCTGTTGATACCGTGCAAGCACAATCCCGCGAACATACGGAAGCGTTCCAAAAGACGGCTCTGGTTCTGGACCGTAACTCCCAACGTATCGAAGAGCTCGGAAATGCGATGGTAGAACCACAGTTCCTGGAAGGCATGAAACACCGCGTCGAAGAGCTTGAGAATGCTGTGGAATCACATGATGCGGCACTGCAAGCTTCTCAGGCCTTAACGATCCGACTCGAGTCCCTAGATGCCCGACTGGGTGTGTCGGAAGTCGCCCTCTACTCTATACAAACGCCGACATTGACCCCTCCGACTGCCACAACAGCTACCGCGGCTCTCGACGATCTTCGGAACAAGGTTGACGCAACCTACTTACAGATGAAGAATGAACTTGCCTCATTGGTGAATTGCAAAGAGCGACTTGTCGCATTGGAAAAGCCCCGCGGTACCGCTGCATCTCGCAAACTTGACAATAGGATCTGCGTATTGGAAGAGAACTACACCAAGATCCGCAACGACCATCCAGAAATGACCACCAAGTGTGTTACCCACGAGCAGTTTGCTGCAGCAAGGGAATCCCTTGCTGCCTCCCTCAACACGATGATTCGAAACCACCGGGACGAGGTGAAGCAGTTGATCCAAGGCCCAGAAGTGGCACAGCCTGCCCGAGCACCGGCACCACAGTCGGCGTATACATCACCACCGGGAACGAATCTGACACACCCTGGACCGACGCGTGATACCTGGCCACCAAATACACCATCCACTCCGGTGGCGTTCCAACAGGCTATAATACATATGCAGCACGCACTGGCACTTGCAGGGAATGCTGTGTCTGAAGTTAGGCAAGGAACTCAGCCAGTCGCCGATACCATTGATCTCACTGGACCTGGACAACCCACGTTCTTTCGACAGATGCCTAAGAATCGACAACGAACTGAGCGATCGGAGCAGCAGGAGGCTCAGCAATTAACGCAACAGCAAACGCAACAACAAGCTCAACAACAGGCCCAGCAGCAGGCACAGCGACCGGCACAACAACAACATCTGAATCAACATCCTCCATCAATTGCCATGGGCGTCATGCAGCAAAGGCCAGAACCGGGAATGCAAATGGAATGGTCATCCTAAGGTCATCACGATGTGCGATTGCCCATGAGACGGCAATCACAATAGGCTGGGGGTGATACCATGTATTTGGATGCACAGATTACTGAGATCCTAGAATCTGAGTGAAATGCATCAGTGGAAACCTAGGGGTGAATAGGTGATGTGTTGGGCGCTGTAGAAGGGGTTTAGCTCATATGCTATGGTATACTTATAACCTATTTATACGTCTTAATGCGTATGAGAGTGACGTGTGTCGAAGTGATGTCCCATCACGAAGCCAGAGTCTTTCACCACACTGGTATTACGATAGCGATATCAGTGTCGTAAGGACGATGATGACGTGATAGTATGGGTGACGCTTGACTCATCGCCGCGCTAATGCATGCTGTAGTATATTGTATTTTACATTTTTACTGTTTACTTCTCATCACGGCGCCTAGTTCTTGGGCTTGTACTCTGAGGGGTTGACCATAAGCTCGGGCCTGACGTACTTGTCAAAGTCCGACTCGCTGATGACCTCGAGCTTGAGCGCAGCCTCCTTGAGCGTAAGGTTGTTCTTGTGGGCGTATTTGGCGGTCTTGCTAGCGGCGTCGTATCCGATGACGGGGTTGAGGCAGGTGACGAGCATGAGACTGCGTTAAGTTAGCTATGTGATGACTGCGTAATTGGAACAAAGGCACTTACCTCTCGCTCATGATAGAGCTGATGCGCTTCTCATCCGCCTCAAGACCAGCAACGAGGTTCTTCTCGAAACTTCTCATGCCGTCGGCGAGCAGACGCGAGCTGTGGAGCAGGTTGCGGATCATGACGGGCTTGAAGACGTTGAGCTCGAAGTTACCCTGGGATCCAGCGAAGGTGGTAGCGGCCTGGTTACCGAAGACCTGGGCGCAGACCATGGTGAGGGATTCGCACTGTGTGGGGTTGACCTTTCCAGGCATGATGGAGGAACCGGGCTCGTTCTCGGGCAGCTTCAGCTCACCGAGACCGCATCGGGGGCCAGAGCCGAGGAAACGGATGTCTTGGGCGATCTTGAACAGAGAGGTTGCGAGGGTGTTGAGCTGGCCGTGGGCCTCGACGATGGCGTCGTGGGCAGCGAGCGCTTCGAACTTGTTGGGTGCCGTGACGAAGTCCTTGCCGGTCATTTTGCTCACTTCCGAAGCAATGTCCTCTGCGAAACCCTTGAAGGTGTTGATGCCAGTTCCGACGGCGGTTCCGCCCTGGGCCAGCATCTTGAGGCGCGGAAGACAGGTCTTTATCCGCTCAATGCCAAAGTCGAGCTGCTGTACGTAGCCAGAGAACTCCTGGCCGAGGGTCAGGGGTGTGGCATCCTGCAAGTGTGTCCTGCCAATCTTGATCAAGCTCTCCCACTGGTCGGCCTTTTTCTTCAGCGCGTCCCTCAGGCTGGCAAGGGCGGGCAGGAGCGACTCCTCAAAGTCGAGAACGGCGGCGATGTGCATGACGGTGGGAAAGGTGTCGTTAGACGAGGCGGACATGTTGACGTGGTCGTTGGGGTGGACGGGCTTCTTGGAGCCCATGGTGCCGCCGAGGATCTCAATGGCGCGGTTGGAGATGACTTCGTTCGCGTTCATGTTGGACTGGGTGCCGGAGCCCGTCTGCCAGACAACGAGGGGGAAGTGGTCGATGAGCTTCAGCGAGGCCACCTCCTCAGCGGCCTGCTGGATAGCCTGGCCGAGCTTGGGGTCCAGCCCAAACTTCATGTTGACCGTGGCAGCGGCGCCCTTGAGGATACCGAAGGCGCGCACAATGGGCGGCGGCATGCGGTCCTGGGGCTGGTTGATCTTGAAGTTCTCGAGCGAGCGCTCCGTCTGGGCGCCCCAGTACTTGTCCGACGGGACCTGGATCTCGCCAAAGGCATCGCTTTCGGTGCGCGTGTTGGCCATGGTGCTGGTGACGCTGAACTGGCGGCGCTGGAAGAGGCTCTGCGTCTTCAGCGGGGTACGAGGAGTGGTGGAGAGGGCACGCGTGCTGCGGGCACAGCAGAAGGAGGGGCTGGCCTTTGCATGTGCGAGTGATCGTAATGCTCCGGCCTCGGCGGCGCGGAGCTTCGTTGCGCTTCGGAACATGGTAGCAGCAGCTGCTGGCGGGGGGCAGGATGGAGGGAGGGGGTGGAGAAGACGCCGAATTGGCTAATGGAGTGCGCAGCGGAACTAGAGCGCAAGTCGCAAGTCAAAAGACAGAAGATGGATAATTGGGATAATTGCTGCGACGCAAAATGCTGCCGTTCCGAGCTCTGACCTCATGCTCGCGGGAATTGCCTCCGGTCTCTCCCGCGGCATAACTCACCGTCACATGACTGGCGGGGTGCCAAGCCCAGAGTCGATGAAGGCTCCAAGAACGCAAACTTGAGCATGAAAGAATGTGGTCGGCGTGAATTTTCTGCTTACTTGTACCGCCAGCTCAGAGTACCGCCGCTCAGCACCATGTTCTCCTGCCGCTCGCCTTCCGCACTCCGGCGCCAAAGCCTCAGCATTCCAAGGTTAGCCCGTGATGCCTTCCGCATTGCAACGTCAAGCATTCCGTCGCCTCGTCTGCGCTGATGCGGCGTCTCGCTCATGTCCCACAGCCCCGGCCAGCCACTGTTCCAACTTTTTCCATTACCTCGCGCAGGACGCTTGTAGGGCCGCGTCTATGCCCTCTGCTCGCGACTCTGGCTCACCCTCTGCATATATATGCTTTGGCCGCTCCGGTCGGGCTAGTGGAACCTCTGCATAGCCACCGATCAAAAGCTTCGGCATTATCGGGCACACCCTGTTGAGTGAAACACACCTCGTACCGAGAGCCTGTCCCTACCCAAACTTCCGCCTGCATCGCGCCGCTGGGTACGGCTGAGGGTCCGATTTATTGGGTGATGATGAGGGCTCCCGCATTCGATACTGACGATCTAGAGCTATGAGGGCAAACGACCAAGTACGTCTGGAAGCTAGGTCGCTGCGTGACGCCTGGAACCAGGTGCCCTGCGCTTTCCGTCTTCCGACGACTGGTCATATTAGATTAACGTAGCGAGTCAAGTCGGAGTGCACCTGATCTGTCTCCACCATCCTTTCGATCCATGCTGGGCGCTCGCCTTCGAGCGTGCCAACGTAACATGGAGCTAATAACCCCTCATCTTCACCTACGGCCCAGTTCCAGCCTACACAAACACTCCTGTTTGCATCTGCGGTCTGCTGTCTTTTGCAGCCTGCTATTGTGTCTTCAAGCTCACTCCACCTTTGCATTACTCCGTCCGTGAAGCACGGCTTCAGCTGGGCCGCACGTACTTGCTTAGCCGCAGATAAGGCTCCCATGACGCTGATCGAGCCTTCTACCACGAACCCCTCTGCCCAACGACTGCCTCAATCAAGGCCGAGTTGTTCTGACAGTTGTTCGCAATCGATACACGATAGCGTCAACATCCGCGTCCCTCCAGACCTTTGCTCGCCACCGATCGACACAGCTTACGAAACGACACAGCTCGTGAAAAAAGGTGCAAGACGTCTGTGGAACTGCTCGTATGGCTGAGTCTGAATACGGCGCCGGTCCCTGGGTTCACGATAGGATAGGCGCTCGAAACTCAGATGCAGAGCTGACTGCCCCGCTTCTCGCCGCGCATACACCGTTCCAACAACAACTGCCAACGTTGTATCGAAATCCATACATGTCCAATAGCAGCCCCTCCATGTCTCAGGCTCAGGATGCACCAAATGTGTCTACCAGCAGCCACCCACAATTATGTCCAGCTTTGCCACCTATTGGAATGCGTCACCACTACTATGCTCCTCATGCACACTCGTACCAGTTCACAAACCCTCAAAGACCATCGCAAACCTGGAATGGGCCTCCGCACCTTTATCCCGGCCAGGCATTCTACGACCCTTCTCAGGGTGACCAGCTGCGCCATCATTTAGGAGCACCGGGTCACAACTTTCCGCTACTAGGGTCACCACATGCCGCGCCTCCCTCGAATCCCCGACATCGTCATGATTACAGAAGACACGATCACAGAATGAGTGCCGGGGCGGTGGCAGGTAGTATGCCTACTGACAATACACGCTTCCCTGAAGCACGGGGTTCAGTAGCACCCCCGGAAGCCCGGTTTCAGCATCCGCGACCGCCACTTCAACAAGCAGTCCACCCAGGTGAGGCACTGTATTCTGGATTGCCTGAACGTCCGTGGCCGTCACACGAGGTTCCAAGCCGCCGCTCAGACCGTAGCGTATCCCCGCGCACGTCGAATCGCCGTAACTTTGAACGATACTCGGTTGACCTCTCCCATTCCAGCACGTCGTCTGACGCAGAAGAAGCGGCTGCCCGTGCGCCGCCGCTGAGTCGTATGAGGCATCGATCCAGAGAAGTGCGGCCGCGTATCGCGGGCCGCTACCCGCCTCAATTCGATCCCAACATTGCTACCGCTCGCCAAATTGATCAATTGAAAAGCAGTCTTCAGCGCCATCTACCAAGTACGCTTCCAGAGAAAGCGTCCAAGGCTTGTGACATTTGCCAGAAAGACTATGCCGCTACACGCGTGTCGCCTACAGAAGAGGAAGAAATTGCGATTGAGCTCTCGTGTGGACACACGTTTGGAGAGTTCTGCATAAGTCAATGGGTAAGTGGTAGTCGCTTGGAGATAGCAGATGCTTGCTCACATGACCTAGTTTGATACGTGCAGAACACACAAGAACAAAGTTACCTGCCCCATGTGTCGGAAGCAGCTCATCGAAGCACCAGCACCCCGATTCATGCCGAGCATGATGCAGGGGCAAGCGTTTCTTGATCTGCTCGCTCGCCAGAATATGCACGTCACTGATCTCTACGGCCACTTTCAGCAGGCGTGAGCGCTGTGAGGAAAATGACTCAGGATGCGATTTTCAAAGCCATGATATCATTGTTTTACACGGGTGGCCTTGGCAGGTCAGTCGAGGCGTTGTAGATGGGTAGGGAGTTTTGGTGAGTGTTGCACACTAGGTGCGTAATTGGGGTGAAGAGGCATCAGAATGGATATGTACATAGCATGGTGATCAGCGGCATACAAACATCAGCATCTTTGTGGATAGCACTTTTGCATGTGCAGCCCTTGCGTCGATCTGGGCTCCACTTCCCGGGATGCCTGGAATTCATCGTTGCCCGGAGCCCACCTAGCCCCAAACATGCACCCCGCCATCAACACAAACCTGACCCGATACACCCAAACCCGTCAAACAAGACATCGTGTGAGATACTGCGCTGCATGACTGCTGTCGCCGATTGCTTGCGCCCCCACTGCCGCCTCTTTGCTTCTTCGTGCCTGCTTGCGCTCCACGCCTCTTAGCTGCTGCCATCCACCGCTCCTTCCCCGTCGCCCAGTAGCCATCGCGCCATGGAGGACAGCAACAGAGACAGCTTCCAAATGCCCGCCCCTCCCCCTCCACTACAGATCCGCGACAACGCAATGGATCGTCCAGGCACCCCGACGGGCGAGGCCTTCATGAGCCCGCAGCAGACGCCCCAGGGCAGCCCAAGCAAGCACCACCAGCCGCCCGGCGCATTCGATCTGCCGCATGTGTTCGAAAATGCCATGCGGCTGCTGCCCACCATGGGCTCGCCGTCCAAGACGAAGCCCGGATCGCCCACATCCCCCAACAAACTGCAGATCGGCAGCAATGGCGCTGACTACGGCAACATGGAGAGTCCCAGTTTCGCCCCGGGCAGCCCCACACGCAAGTCGAACCAGGAGAACACGCCCCCGAGTGGCCGTCCCGGCCTGCAGAAGGAGTCGAGCTACCTCACACACGCAGCACAGTCGCGGCAGGAGCCCTACAGGACGCGCGAGGACGGCCAGTCGACACGCTACATCAACGGTCCACAGCGCCTTTCCCCGGAAGAACTCGAGAAGGCGAGAAAGCCAGCCGTAAAGCGCCTGGCAAACGTGACCCAGCTGTGTAAGGCGTGACCCTCGTACTGTGACCATCAAGTACTAATGGCCATCTAGACTTCCTCGACTACTACTACGACCTCCTCACCTACGTACACAGCCGCCAAAGCCGCCTGACCCAGTTCAAGGCACAGAACCCTCCCCCTCCAGATACACCCGAAGAAGAGTACAACGATGCCCTCACACAGTACCTCGGCCGCGAGCGTGCCAACCTCCGCAAGCGACGCACCCGGTTAAGGCAGGGTGACTTCCAGATCCTCACACAAGTCGGTCAGGGTGGCTACGGTCAGGTCTACTTGGCCCAGAAGAAGGACTCGCGTGAGGTCTGCGCTCTGAAGGTCATGAGCAAGAAGTTGCTGTTCAAGCTGGACGAGGTTCGCCACGTCTTGACAGAGCGCGACATTCTGACCACTGCTAAGAGCGAGTGGTTGGTCCGCTTGCTCTACGCTTTTCAAGACGACAAGAGCATCTACCTTGCTATGGTGAGCCGCACTGATACCCAAAATTGAACAGTGCACTAACATCTGCTAGGAATACGTCCCTGGAGGCGACTTCCGAACCCTTCTCAACAACACTGGTGTTCTGCACAACCGGCATGCGCGCTTTTACATCGCCGAAATGTTCTCGTGTATCGACTCGCTACATCAGCTGGGTTACATCCATCGCGATCTGAAGCCCGAGAACTTCCTGATCGACAGCACCGGCCATGTGAAGCTGACCGACTTCGGTCTCGCAGCTGGTATCCTTGCGCCCTCCAAGATCGAGTCTATGCGAATCAAGCTCGAATCCGTCAGCGACGTCATTTCGCCATTCGGCCGGCCTATCGAAGAGCGATCGGCAGCCCAGCGACGAGAGAACTACCGCTCTCTTCGGGAGCGAGACGTCAACTACGCAAAGAGTATCGTTGGCAGTCCCGATTACATGGCACCCGAAGTATTGAAAGGCGATGAGTACGACTACACAGTCGACTACTGGAGTCTGGGATGCATGTTGTTCGAGGCCCTGGCCGGTTATCCGCCATTCGCCGGTGCCACAGTAGACGAGACCTGGCAAAACTTGAAGCAGTGGAAGAAGGTTCTACGGAAGCCCGTCTATGAAGACCCATCCTACTTCCTCTCGAAGCGCACATGGGACCTCATCATCCGTCTCGTGGCTTCCAAGTCTACCCGCTTCCGCAACATTTCCGAGATCCATGCCCATCAGTACTTCGCCGAAGTTGACTGGGCGAGGCTGAGAGAGCAGAAGGCACCCTTCGTACCGGAATTGGACAGTGAGACAGACGCTGGATACTTCGACGACTTCGGTAGCGAAGCCGACATGGCAAAATACAAGGAGGTACACGAGAAGCAGGCTGCGTTGGAGGCCATGCAGGACCGCAACGTCCAGATGGGCAAGGGTTTATTCGTTGGATGTAAGTCTCGATTGTCAAATGGGTTAATGTCAATCGCTAATCATACTGCAGTCACATTCCGCCACAAGAAGACAGCCGACGAGAACGGCAAGCCATCTAGCCCGAGAAAACCGCTCCCCATGGTTGAGGAGAACTTTGGCACGATATTCTGAGAACGTCCGTTTCGCTCTGCGTGTCGAGGCACTGGTTGCGTCGGCGCTTTCTCTCCTTCGTACATCTGTTTCTGTGTTCATCGCAGCGCCTGGAAGCTGTGAAGTCGAGACGAGCTACGAGATGCGTGCATGGTGCAGTCGCTTGCCAGGTCACACGTCGTAGTATGATTGTCACATTTGGCGTTTAGTTCGGATAGCATGGTTTATTGGGCGGGCAAGTGCGTTGCATGCATTCAAGACGTCGTGTATTAGTAGATGAGTACACGGATATGAAGGTAGTGATTACTGAGAACGCGTAATACAACCTGTCCTCAACGATGAATCAATCTAGTGGAGCCGCACGAAGTCACCTGACCGCGGGATCCTGGGCAACGCGCTAGTTGCTAGTGCCCGCCCGCGCGCCCTTTCGTCCCCTCAATCACAAAGCCCACTCCACCTTACGTCAACCCACATACGACACCACTACAATGCCCGGTCTAGTCCAGCGAGGACGAAAGCGCCCGTCGCGCGCTATCAGCGAGGATCTCGACGAATCTTCCGATGCCTCGTCCTCACATTCCACAAACGGCAAACGCGCCCGCCATGGCCGAGACGCGCCTTCCAGTTCTGCGCAGACGAACGGCGACCCGAACGGCTCGAGCGAACAGACTGAAGGCGATTTCAAAGCAGGCTCTCTCGTCAGGGTCAAGCTTGTCAATTTCGTTACATACACGGCTGCGGAGTTCCATTTAGGGCCAAGCCTAAACATGGTCATCGGCCCCAACGGCACAGGAAAGAGTACCTTGGTCTGCGCAATCTGTCTGGGTCTGGGATGGGGCAGCGAACACCTTGGAAGAGCCAAAGAGGTGGGACAATTCGTCAAACACGGCGCTGCCGAAGCCACCATCGAGATCGAGCTCGCAACGGGTCCTGGCAATGGCCCCAATCGCATTGTCAGGCGTGTCATACGCAAGCGCGACAACAAGTCTGTGTTCTTTCTTGACGGCCCACTTGTGGGGAAGAAAGATGTACAAGATATGGCCAGACAATATTCCATTCAGATCGACAACCTCTGCCAGTTTTTACCGCAAGACCGTGTAGTGGAGTTCGCGAGGATGAGCGACGTCGACCGATTACGAGAGACCCAACGCGCTGCAGCGCCTCCGCAGATGGTGAAATGGCATGACGAGTTGAAGGAATTGCGTACACAAGAACGCGCTTTGGAGACGAAGGAGAAGAACGAACGCAGCCATCTGGACATGCTGGAGAAAGCACAAACCGCAACAAAAGATGACGTAGATCGCTACCATCAACGAGAAGGCCTTTTGCGGAAGTCGAAGTGCTTGAAGTCGGTCAAGCCTATCATCGGGACGAAAATCCTCAAGACCGAGATTACTGCAGTAAAGGCAGAGATTCGAGACGCTAGACTGGAGCTCGATCAGATCAACATCGACATAGAACCAGCGCGAAGGGCTCAAGCAGAAGTCGAAACATATCAGAACGATATTGAGCAAATCGTAAACCTTCGAAAGAACCGCGTCGACATGATCAAGACACAGGCTGAAAAGCTCGCGACAAAGATTGAGACCGGCAAAGCGAAAGCGGCGGAAACTGACAATCAGATCAAAGCCGAATTGAGTTCGAAGAAAAAGCGCGCAGATGACATGGTTCGCCTCAACCGTGATATCACCAGGCTGGAAGCCCAGCGACAGGACCAACCCGCGCAATTCGACGCCGAGGCTTACGAGCAGCGCAAGTCAGATCTTCGCGACCAGATCTCTACTAACATGGGCCTCATTTCCGACAAAAGGAGTAGCATGAAAGAGCTAGCTACCCGCGCTGGTGTCGTGAAAGCCCGACACACGCAGCTGAAAGCTAATCAGGATCGGCTGAACACACAGAGCGGAAAGCAAGCCAGCCTTTTGATGAGAATTTCCCGCGAGACCGCTGCCGCATGGGAATGGATTCAAAGGAACAAATCCTCTCTGCAGTTGAAAGGTGAAGTCTTCGGGCCACCGATACTGGAATGTTCCGTCTTAGATCCCAAGTATGCTAAGGCCTTCGAGAGTCAATTGAAAAAGGGCGACCTCATTGCCATCACTTGTACCACCAACGAGGACTCGAAGATGCTGGGCAAGCGTCTGCTCAGTAACAAAGCCAACGGCGGCCAGGGACTCAGCGAAGTCTATCTTCGAACATCACTAAAGCCCCTCTCTTCGTATCAACCGCCCATGGCCAGGGCAGGCTTGGCCCAATACGGGTTTGAGGGGTATATTTTAGACTACGTCAAAGGACCCGACGAGGTCTTAGCCATGCTTTGCGAAGGTTGTAAACTGCATCAGATCGCGTATGCTGCAACACCACTATCTGATGCTGTACATAAGTTTGTGGAGGAGCAAAGCCCGATTCGTAGCTGGGTGAGTGGATCGGACACGTATCGCGTGATCTCACGCTACAACCAGTCTTCTACGTCCGTTATACCACTAAGACCAGCACAATCTTTCGTAGATCAGCCAGGCAATACGGATGAGTTGCGGGCCATCATTGAGGAACAAAAAGGGCTAGTACAAGAGGGAGAAGAGCTACGCGAGAACCACAAGATCCTCAAGGACGAAGTCAGCAAACTCGAAGGAGAGAATGAGGATTTCAAACAACAGAAGGTACATGCAACTGCCACTGGATGCAAATGCGCCAATTACTGACAATGTGGTAGGACGCTGTGCAAGCTGAGCAAGACGGCTTGAAGAAGGCTTTCGCCGAATGGGAAGCTCTACCCGACAAGATTGGTGGGTATCTTACATATGTGAGAAGGAGTCTTCGCTAACTATGTCTAGCATCGAAACAAGCCGACCTGCACAGCAAAACGCAGGAAAATGCAGAGACCACTGCCCGCATCAAAGCTATCAAAGCCGACGCTCGTGCTACACTACTGCAGGTCGCGAACCTGACACTTGAATATGCTGTAAGTCACGAACGATCGGTCACCGGAGTCCTGCTGACGATCCCACAGAAAGTTGTAACCCAAATGAGGGCATTCCACGAATCGCTTGTCGAGGCTGAGATCCGGCTCATCGAAGTCAAGTCGGAGCTTAGGGGCCTCATAAAAGAGAACAGCGCGATCCTGGACAGACAGAAAGCGCAAGAACATAAGATCAACGAGCGCACGAATCACGAGCGAGTTCTTCGGGCCAAGTACAGAGAGCTGCAAGAGGCTACGCAGAGCGACATTTACAGTCTCAGCGAAGAAGAAAGACAGATCGTCATGGAATACAAAGAGCTTCCCACACTCGAAGCCTTGGAGCTAGAGGTTCAGTCGGTCAATGCCCGGCTGGAGATGATGGCCGAAGGTAATCCTGGGGCGATCAGGGCCTATCAGAAGCGGGCGGGTGACATCGAGAAAACGCGTGAGAACCTGGAACAGTACGCTGCCAGTCTCGAAGAGATCAAAGAGAACATCACAAACATCCGCCAGAAGTGGGAGCCCGAACTTGACGTTCTCATTCGCAGGATCAGCGGGGCTTTCGCACACAACTTCGAGCAAATTGGATGCGCTGGTGAAGTCCAGGTGAACAAAGACGAAGACGACTTTGACAACTGGTCCGTCCAGATTTCAGTCCGTTTCCGGTAAGCTCAGACTATCGTGCTCATACGCAAACCTAGCTAATGATCCCAACAGAGAGAACGAGCCGCTCAGCGTATTGAACTCTCACCGCCAGTCCGGTGGCGAGCGCGCCGTGTCAACAATCTTCTACCTAATGGCATTACAAGACCTTGCCCAGTCACCATTCCGCGTCGTCGACGAAATCAACCAGGGTATGGATCCCCGCAACGAACGCATGGTACACGAGCGCATGGTGGATATTGCATGCCAAGAGAACACGAGTCAATACTTCCTCGTCACCCCCAAACTTCTGCCTGGTCTCAAGTACCACGAGAAGATGAAGGTACATGTCATCAACTCTGGAGAGCACATTCCAGTTGCACAGGGCGTTCAGGGTGAGTGGAACTTGTCCAGTATGGCTGAGATTGCATTGCGAGTGAGGAGGAGCGTTGCAGTTGCATGAGAACTGGAATCGCGTGGCGCAGACCATTACGATACGTGCGCGGGTGGGATGAACAAGAGTACGAATACCACGGCAGTCTAGTGTCGTTCATGGTTTGATATGTCTCACAGCGGATGTGTTTGGTAACAGCGTTGAGCAACCGCCATGCAGGTACGACGGACAGCAGTCAGCGACATTTACTGTACATCGAATGTTCTCAATCCTTCTTATCAGCGCTATTCTATAGCGCGCGCAGGATATATATTGAGGTACCCGTATCCGTACATGTGCATGCAACCGTTTCCTTGGATACATCGTGTTTGTGCGACCGCTAAAACGACTAAGCGTTCCTGTGTGCGACACCAACAGTTCAGGAATGCGTGTACCAGTTTGTTGAGCCGACTCTACTCGGGACCGATGCATTATACGAGCCTTTGAGCTGAAAGGCTGATGAGTTTCTCGTATGATACCTGGTATGCTGGCGCTGCTTACATGTATTATAGGCTGGGATGGGGCTATGGTTCGATGCACTTCGTACCAGGGTCACGTCATGGCGCAGGATTACCTGGGTAAGGTTGCATTGTGGCGAGCAAACTTAAGGGCGTTGAACCAACGAAGGAATGTGCGTTGGAGGTTGGAGAGGTATATATCAGCCGTGGGTGCGGGCTTGTGATGCTGGACATTCAAGTTCCATCGCTCTCGATATCGCTCAACTCAGCCTGGACCAAATTTTCACACCCAAGACAAAAGTACTGATATCAAACATCGTTACCATCGACCAGAATCCGCACCATGATATTCCCCACTCCCTTCCTAGCATTCCTCCCCCTCCTCATCTCCCTCACCACCGCCCTCCCCACTAACCTTCACCACCCCCTCCACGCCCGCGACACCTCCCTCGCCGCCGCAGAAACATGGCACATCACCCGCCTAGACATGCACATGATGACCACCAGCACCGGCATCCCCGGCAACGGC